CCTGCCTTCTAGAACCTCTTCTGGCCCTAAATCAGGATGAAGGGCCTCAACAGAACTCACCTTTCCTGCATCCAACCGAGCCCGATGAGCCCATCCAGCTGCTCTCCCTCTTCCAAGGACCCAGAAGCTTGAGTACCCCTAGTCCTCTCTCCCCCGTCTCTCCACCCAGCTCGGCTCTCTGGGCTGGAGCAGGAGAGCAAAGCTGTAAGGCAGCCTGGCTTGTGTCCTAGAGTCTAAGATTGCCCTATGTAGGAGCACAAAGGGATGGGAGGATGAGGGGAGAAGGCCAGGGTGCTCAGGGACTAGTCTTCCAGAATGGCACCCCGTGGCCCTACAACCAGGCAGAGCAGGTCACGTCTCCAGCAACCTTTACCTTCTTTCAGTGCCCAGATGCCCAGTGCTCCCTGCAGGCCACCTGGCTAATCGAAGGTTCCCCATGACACCCAGTTTACATGTCCTGGTAATAGGCTACACTCGGACCCTTCTGGCCTTTCTCTGTGGAACAGGGCCTGGGGTCTGATGTGTTAATGGCCTTAGTACGTAGGCGGTGAAGTCAGCACTCCCTCTGCCTCTATCAGACCAGGAGACGATGGGGAGGGGCTGGGCCCAAGCAGTCCAAGAAGTGCATTCACACCAGAGACGGAGGGTCTACATCCATAACTGGGGAAAAGTCACAGGGGCTCCCCTCCCAGCCCAGCATTTGCCCATGATCCGGGCAGGAGGTTCTAATTGAGGAATTCAGATTCTGCTCTGGAGCCAGTGCTGTCATTGGGATCAGTTACCATCAACAATAAAGAGCTGGCATTTATTGGGCATCTATGCCCAGACACTTTCAAGGCACTTTGCACCTTTTTTTCCCCCCATCATAAACTCTTTTCACCCTCACAATAACTCTACGAAGTGGGTACTACGTATTTATTATACCCTCTTTACCATTGAGGAAACAGGCAAAAAGGTTAAATAACTAATGGGAGATCATAGTAAGTGGCAGGCCCAGGATTTGAGCTCAGGTCTCATTCTGGCCCATCCTTAGGCCTCCATGCTCCACAGCCTCCCTTACTTTAGTGGATTGTGGCCAAGAGATATCTCCATAGTTCAGACCAAGCCAAGGTCACTGGATCTGGGCCAAGGGTGTACTGGAACTGGCTCCTTAGATGGCTTGTGAAAGCCCAGTGTCTCTACCTTTTCCAACTCCTACAGTGGCACCGGCTCGGTAACCTAGGGCAGGACATGGTAGGAGTATTTACACCATGAAAACTGGCAAATGCTTTTTCCCTCCCAGAAACCAGAGGCTGGGTGCACCAGGGAACAACAGCCCCAACTGAGCTGTCAATGTGTTAAGTAGAATGTGCCAAGAAGCAGACCGACTCTGCACACCTCCGAGCTGGGCCCAGGCCTTCTCCCCAAGGGACCCAGATCTGCCAGCTTGTTCTGGGAAGGTGCTTCTAGCCCCAGGACCAGGCTGGAGAAGCAGGAAAAGCCCACCTTGGTGCCTAGGCCAAGTTCCACGAATCACTCATTGTGGGACCTTAGGCCAGTAGCTTAATCTCTTATGGGGTAAATAGGGAGAAAACCAGCAATGACTTCACTGGGCCTTTATGGAGACAAGAGTCCCAGATGTCTGGACTTGGTAAACTAAGCTGTGTCAGTCAGAAAGTGTTCGCTCCTCTTCTCACCTACCTGCTCTCAGCATTTTCCATCTCCCAAGGGTATGCATGGCCTGTCTCCAGCTACTCTTGGTCCTAAGAGGGGGGTGGTCAGTTAACCCAGAGCCCCCAATTTCACAGCACAGTGCTAACCGTTCCCATCTCACCCCCATCTGCTGTCCAACACATCAGCTCTCACCTACTTTGGACCCTTAATATCCTTCCTGAAAACAGAAAACCCGTCAAGATTGGGGCAGATGGAAGTTGCTACAATGCTGGGCCACTCAGCTGTCTCAGAAGTCATGGACAGCTGAAACCGGTTTGGCTCAGCAGATAGAGCGTCAGCCTGTGGATTGAAGGGTCCCGGGTTCGATTTCGGTCAAGGGCATGTATCTTGGTTGCGGGCACATCCCCAGTAGGAGGTGTGCAAGCAGCAGCTGATCGATGTTTCTCATCAGTGTTTCTAACTCTCTATCCCTTTCTCTACCTCTCTGTTAAAAATCAATAAAATATATATATATATTTTTTACAAAACAAAACAACAACAAAAAGAAGTTGTGAACTGCTGCTTTTCTCCCTCTTTTCTATACGGGCGTGGGCAAGTTAAAAGAAAAAAAACCAATCAGGTCCAGCTTCCTAGTTACTTTGAAATAAATTTATACATTACTCAGGTAACCTTATTAATGGGAGGGCCCAAATGTCTCCTCCCCAGGGGAAAACCGGACTCCCCTGACCACCCAGGGCCTCTGCTGGAATTAGAACGGCCTCAGACCAGACAGGAGACACAACAGAATGGTTCTCACACTGAAAACACAATAGTACGGGGAAGGCCTGGGTAGGAGCAAAGGTGAGTGGAGGGGGGCAAAGTGGGAGAAAGTGGGAGACATCTGTAACACTGTCAACAATAAAATAATAAAAAATAAAATAAAAAACATTCTCCTCTTTCCAGGAGCCAGAGGGCGAGTCAGATTCAATTAAGTGCAACAAGAACAATGGCATTCAAAACAACAGCTATTTATTACAAAAATAAATGACCTCTGGTTATCTGTGGAAACTTTTTTTAAATGTGGCTCAAGAAGCTGGCTGCAGGTTGGTCTTCTAACCAATGTCTTCTTTTCCCACCAGCAAGTGTGTGGGACACATCACATTTCTGCCAACCCCTGGGGGCTGGGGGCCATTTCAAAGCACCACCCGACAGCCCCTCTCCCCACATCTCCCAGCCACAACCGCAGCATTTGAAGCTGCATCACGTCATGTGACCTCGACCCCAGAGAAATGTCTGTCCACCAGGCTGGGAAGAGAAGGAAGAAGGAGTGAGGAGACAAGTCTCCCTCTCCCACCCTTGCAAAGCAGTGGAAGAGACAGAGGAGCCCTTTGTCCCCAATGTGGCCTAATCGGCAGGAGATGGGCAGGGAGCTGCCCGAGATTCCTCCTTCCTCACCCTCACTCTGCCCCTCCGACTCCTTCAGAGCTCTCCCTTCCAACGAGTTCCTCCTAGGAAACACCAGGCAGAGGGAACATCAGCCACCTCCTGGTTGTCACCGTGGGCCACTGTTCTTTACTAAGAGCCAAGCACAGACTCCTGCATTCTACCTCCAGGAGAGCCCTCCCAGATGGCTGTCCTGACCCAGCTCAGCAGAAACCAACTCCACCTGAGGGAAGAGGGGAGGGCCAGGGCAGGGTGAAAGGGCGAGCAGAGGTTTCTCCATCCCTGTTCTCCTTCCCTTCCAGAAATGCAATTAAGCAAGCAGCCCAGACTCAGCACACAGGCAGTGCTTCCTGCTGGGGGAAGTCAAAAGGGCTGCAGCCCTGGGAGAGGGAGGTCATCAGGCCACAGATCTAATTATCAAACCTGCCTTGCCTTTGATGTTGCTTTATTTCCTCTATTAACATTAATAATGGTTGGTCTGAACGTCCAAGCATAGCCAGAAGCTTCCCTTCCCATCACCCAGTAGGTAGCACAGCCTGTCCCCAGGACCAATTTCCAGTCTCCGTGGCAACTGCCTCCGAAGATGCTCTTAAAGAGCTCTGACCCTGTCAGAATTAGTAGGGGCTACAGAGGAGGGAAGATGGAGTGTGACAGATTGGGCATTAACCTTGAAGCATCACAGCCCTCTGAGACAAAATACTCTGTCATGCACTGGGAGGAGGGAGGCAGGGGAGAGGCTGGTCTCAGGTTGGTTCAGTTAGGACCCCAGGGCTTTCTTAATCCCTTCACTTGAGAAGCAAGTGAAAGGAACAGCTCTGAGCTTCTTGCTTGGGTTCAAAGGAAGAGAGGTGAAGCTTTAATGCATTTCTAGGTGCTCTGGGTCTTTGTGGGGGAAAGAGATTGAGGACACCGAGACAGAGAAAGGGACATGAAAAGGAGTGGTAAAGGGTGTCAGCAGGGGAGGACTTGAGAATAAAAGTAGGGAACACTTAGTGAGTGACCCCCGCCTAGCACCACACATCTGCCTTGGCTGCTCACCAGGGGGCCCAATGGCTCTCCCAGCCACCAGGAGATGCATCTGTCCTGTCGTCACAGCTGGATGCAGAGGGGAGGATGAATAGTGAGAAACCACCTCTAATCCCCCGGGCCTTGGAACACAGAGTAGCCAAGGATAGGACGCCATTCCTCCTGCCAATCTCATCGTGTGAAATTTTCAGATGTGGCGAGTCCTCGGCTGCCTCACTCTGTGGCCAGTCTTGTGCCCACCGCAGGCAGGAAGTCCAGCCACCTGCTGCCACACAGGAGATGTCCCATCAGCAGCCATGCGTGGAAGCAGCTTCAGGCCGCCCACCAGCTCAGGGACATGGAGTCACACTTCGTTAATGAGGAGGGCAGCACAGCTCCGCCAGTCCCTTCTGCTCTGCCATTGCTGATGTCCCAAGATGGGGCCAGGCTCTCAGCCCTCGTGGAGGTCAGAGAATTGTTGCTGCGTCTTACTTACATACCAAGTCCAGTGTGAAAAAAAAAATACCAGAAAAAAATACTGTAGCCCTGGACTTTCTCTCAGAGTTTATGACACAGCTGTCCGCAGCCACAGTCCAGATTCCACAGGTGCCTGGGCAAACATGCCCTCACCCTCCCGCACTCCCACCACTCTTGCACACTCATCCCTCCTCATGTTGCACATGTGAGGCAACAGCCTGAGAGGCATCCTCGGCGCTGAGCCATCCCCAGCAGTGGAATCTGCAGACACAGCCGTGGCTCTCTAGTGTTTGGTTAGAGTCCAGGTCTGCTCCTAGAGCTTGGTCCTGCAGGCGGAAGAATTCCTCAGGCTCCTCGGGCAGCTTCCTCCACAGTTGGAAGGGCTCAGGGACTGGCTCCACAGCTGGCTGCCCCCAGGAAGTTCCAGGACTAAGGCTGTGGCTTCAAAAGTCCCATGACTCCAGCCACCTTAGTCCTGCCATCGGACTTCGTGGGTCCTGGGCTAGGGGTCCAACCATCCCGTAAGCGAGAGGATGGAAGAGGTAGAAGCTGTGAGAGAGAATCAGAAGGAGGCAGTTGGCATCTGCAGAGACAAGCAGCCAACTGCCCTATAGAGCTCTGAAATGCCGCTCCTCCTGCCAGCCTCATTAGATCTTCTCACCCACCACACCCATTCCCTGTCAGCTCCAGCGCTGCCTGAGTTCGCCGGCCTGAGCCAGCTGTAGCCTGCGACCTTATAGATGCTGCCTTAGTGACAGTACAGGAAAGGGCTCTTCCCCAGAGTCCGAGGACAGAGGTCAGCCAGAGGTCTGCTCGTGGGCTATCTGGCCCAGAGTATTTGTCAAAAAGTGGAAATGCTCTCAGGTCATAGGTCATCATTCCCAACACATTTTCATGTTGTCCCCGGCCCCCTCCAGGCCAATGCCTCTCAACAGGTGAGCTGTGAGACTTGCAAGGTGGGGAGAGGCCTAGCTTTCCAAACAACACCCTCATTCCAGTTATTCTGAGCCACCCCACACCCTGTACCCCAAACCCACCCTCTCCCTCACCCCTCCTGAGCGCTGGTCCAGGAGGGAGCTACTGGGACGGAAGAGGCGCACCCTCCCGGCATGCCTGTGGTACAGGCTGGGAACCACTGGCACAGGAAAGAATGCAAAGGCTAGCCCCATGCTTCTCCTATGTGGCTGCATGCTAGGGTCACCCAGCAGCTTTAAAAACTGTCTGACCGGCCCAAACTGTACTTGAGTGAATCAAACGTCTGAAGATGGGCGCAGGCAACTGCACCCATGGAGAGTCCCCAGGACTAAATTCCACCCAGGGCTGAGAATCGGGGTGGGGCCAGGAGCAGCAATGGACGTGCAGGGGAGGCTCACCTGTAGGCAGTTCCCAGGAGCAGGCTCAGGACTCCCCCCATGTGGACACCGCTGGCCAGAGAGGAGGCAGCCAGGCCGCAGGCACAGAGCCGCAGGAGAGTGTCCCACAGAATGCCTAATGAGAGGACAGAAACCTGGCACCTGGCACAGCCTGTCGGGGATGACCCTACTGCTCCATAGAGGCCTCCTCCCTGCCCCGCCCACCCGCCCTCATCCCAGTCCAGGCAGCGGTCTGACCTGTGAGCATGCTGGAGAAGAGCATGGCTGGGAAGTAGTGGTGGAAGTAGAGGACCCGGCCCATGAGGAAGAAGGGGAAGTAGTGGAGCGCCCAGCCCAGGAACAGCTGACCGCCTCCTTGCAGAAGGACCTGGGACAGCCCTGCCCAAAGAGCACAGCCCGTCAGCGCAGGGAAGGGAAGAGATCCTGGGCTCCAGCCCAGTTCTACCCCATCCTTGCTGTGTGACATAAATAGGCCACCTTACCTACTGGGCCTTCCCTCACCTGGACCACGCCCAACACCTCCAGCAGCTGGCAGAGGAGAGGAGCAGCTGGCTCTCAAGAGCTCTGCTCCCCACCCACCCAGCCCGGTGAGGCCTCAGCACCCACAGCAGGGGTGCCAGACACCAGCAAAAGCAGCACAGCCCCTAAAGAAACCAAAATTCTACACACCCCACAGCTTCCCCCACCTCCACTGCCCACATCTTTGCTGCCACACAGATGTTTGCAGTGGCAGATAGGGCCAAGGTGAGGTCAGAGAGGAGGATGGAGGTGGGACAGAAGGGAGTCTGGGATTCTGGCTGTTCAGACAGGGAGCTGCAGAGGCCAAAGCAGCCCACGTGAATGTCTTAGATGCTGTGGTCCATGGCCTGGCAGCTAAAGTTACCAGGACCAGCACTAGGATGGGAACCCACAGACCGTGCCCTGGGGCTCCCCTCTCCCCACTAGAGGACAGGGCCACAGAACAAGAGGGGGCAGAAGAGAAAAGACAGCAGCTCTGTATGGAGCACAGAGGTTAAAAGTGAAGACTGAACTCGGGCTGCTTGGGTCTGACCCTCCGATCTCTTCCTTATTAGCATATGCCCTGGGACAAGTTCCTTAACCCCTGTGCCTTGGTTTCCTAGCCCAGAGAATGGGGCAGTGATCCCTACCCTGTAAGGTTTATGGGAAGGTGTGTGTTTAACACGGCACCAGGCAATCTGTGACTGTGAGCTTTGAAAAGCAAAGGAGAAGGGAGAGAGGGGCCCATCAGCAGGCAGGCCTTCCCCTGACTGCAGGCTCCCTGCCAGCTGCCAGGCCAGGGAGAGAGAGGCCCAGGGACCTGACCTTCAACCTCCGCAGGCAGATGCACCCCTCTCTGCACAGCGACGGCAATGATGCTCCCTGAGAGGAGGTAGAGGGCAATGCTCAGCAGATTCAGCCACCAAACCACCTGCACGGGAGTGAGACTGGAGAGTGAGAGGAGAGCTGCGCTCTCACAGGCCCGCCAGAGGGTGTATCGGGCACGAGCGGCACTCACCGGGTTGCCGAGCAGGTACACTCGGAAGTCCGTGTCATTGACCCCCGAGAAGCGCAGGCCCTGCGGAGCAGAGGACACACTGCTGATCTGGGGACCGGCTCATCCCCGCTGCACATGTTCCAGGATGAGGGGACCAGTCACCTTTCACAGACACGGAGCCTGGGCAGGAGGCTCAGAATGCGAGCTCTCTGGGAAGGCAGGGCAGAACCAGCAAAGAACAGAGCCCCGTCCTGGCAGGTGGGAGGCCCCATCCAGTCCCCAGCACACCCCACCTCCACCACGTCTCTTTCTGGCTCCATTTCCTGGGAGAAGCTCTAGCTCGGGCCTACCTGGTAGTTGATAGGCCAGTGCCAGGGTTTGGATGTGAATTCGTTGTCCTTGGGTTTGAGGCCGTTGTTCCCCTGCAGGAAAGTAGCAGAGGAAAGCTGGTCAAGACAGGTCAAGGGCGGACAGAAGTGTGCAGCCCAGGTTCTCTGGTAATGGCCGAGCGTCAGGAGAAGCCCTCCCTCCTCGCCCCCTTAAGGAAGAACCCGGTGCTCACTCTGGGTCACTGTTCACCTGCCTACAGACATCGCCTCACTTCTCCCTACAGGTAAGCCTCCAACTCCTTCCTGAGTCAGCCCAGTCAGACCTCCCTGCTTGAGAGAGAGAGGAACGAGGGACTTGTTTCTTATGGGCACAAAATACAGACCCATCTTGCAGGCCAAAGACAGGTGTCAAGAGATTGCGGGGGGTGGGCATAAAATAAGAGCTGACTTATTTGTCCCTTCGGAAGGCCAATTTTAAACACAAACCCAGGAATGTTGATGAGTTCCTGGACTTTGAAAATTTTACTTTAGACCAGTGTTCTCAACTTTTTAAATTATTGCCCCTCACATACTTTACAGACTTTTTTTTTCCTAAACACCTCCCACTGTGACATTATAATATCACAGCTATACTATAAATCTGTTTATATACTATACTAGAAGCTTGGTGCATGAAATTTGAGCACGGGGATGAAATTCATGCAGGGAGGGATGTAAAGGGGTCCCACAGCCCAGCCTGCACCCTCTCACAATCCAGGACCACTGGCTCCTAACTGCTGACCTGCCCGATTGCCCCTAACTCCTCTGCCTGCCTCATCCCCCCTAACCACTCACCTATCTGCCTCATCACTCCTAACCCCTCTGTTTGTTTACCTCATCGTCCCGAACCTCTCCCTGCCTGCCTCATCACCCCTAACTATTCACCTGCCTGCTTGATTGCCCCTAACTGCCTCTGCCTCAGCCCCTGCTGCCTGGCTTCATCCAAAAGGACTTCCAGAAGGTCATTTGGCCGTCTGGTCTAATTATCATATTATGCTTTTATTATTATAGGTGAATACCTGTGCTTTATACATTACAAAGTTAAGGGGGCTTGCCCTCAAGAACACACTTTACCCACTGGAGGTGATATTACTGCGGCTGAAAATGCACACTTAGCCCAAGGGACTCGAGCTCCTTTAATCAATAGCCAAGAATATCCAACAGCCTGTGTCTACATGGCAAAACCCGGCCTTTGCTAAACAGAAAGGAAAATGATCAGGATCCTGGCTGCTAACCACCAGGACTGGCATCAGCCTCACCCTCAGGGCCCATTGAGAAGGCATTTCCCGAGGAGTAAGGCGCTCTGGCCAGGGCAGGGTTTCTCCACCTCGGCTCTACCGCCTCTGGGGCTGGAGAAGTCTTTGGTGTGGGCTGTCCTGTGCAGGGACTCCGGCCAGAACTATAATAACCCAAGGGCACCTACTCACGACATCAAACTCTGAGAAATTTGACTCCTTTACTAAACCAAGAAACTGAAGGCAAAATCTGTAGCCAGTATAGGCATATGCATTTGTCCATTATTCTCTATGCTTAAAACCTAGAGCGGGCTTGATCCAGCTAACCTCACCAGGCACGGCAGCCTTTCCTGCCCGCTTTAGGCCTTCCTCCCTCTCCCCCACACTTTCTGTGGTCTAGTCTAGTGGTCAGCAAACTCATTAGTCAACAGAGCCAAATATCAACAGTACAATTTCTTTTGAGAGCCAAATTAAACTTCTTCTAACGCCATTTCTTCCAAACAGATTCGCCCAGATTGTGGTATTTTGTGGAAGATCCACACTCAAGGGGTCAAAGAGCCGCATGTGTGGCTCGCGAGCCGCAGTTTGCCGACCATGGGTCTAGACTATTGAGGTCTCTCCCCCCATTCTGATTCTGCATTGGCTGAGTAAGTCCCCTATGTCCCTTTTTCTTCTTTGACTCTTCCTCTTCAATAATAAAATAAGGGTCCCTTTTCTTGTTGGACTCTAACTCTTCAATGATGAAAGAGAAAATAAGACTATTTAGACTTAGTCATAAAATTCTACCTAGACCCAGAATGATACTTTGACTGACAGACACTTATTGAAAGTAGCTGTGTCATCAGGCCAAAGTGGCAGCTACAAGAAGAGAGGCAGAGAGGAAGTGACCCAGAGATTGCTTGCTGTCAACTCATCACCTGCCAAAGTACAGAAATGACAAAATTTGAATTTTTAAATTTAATCTCGTGATTTAAGTCAACTGTATTTACTGACACTGCTTCTATAACCACTTCTAGGAAGGTCCACTTGACATCGGCTCACAGAGGGAAGTAACAACTGCTACACCTCTCTGCAACCTGTGGGCTGAGAAACAGGGATTCTCCAACATCGTTCCTACAGAATACTGGTTCTCCTAAGCCAGAGTAAAGGGGTTCCCCTAAACATCAAAGCTGCAGCAGGGTTTCTCCAACCACAGGGGAGAATTTAAGCTAGAATTTCTCAATTTAAGGATTTCCTCTCTTAATTATTTTTAAACCTTTGATGCTATAACTGCTGTCAGCTACTAATGATACAGAGCACAAACAATGAGTCTTAAAAACCTTAAAAAGAATCAGCCATGTGCCCTAATGGTTTGTCTCTGTCTGGGACAGGAGTGGCTCATGGTTGGGATTTTATGCTGCATGTAATCAACATGCTAAAATGAGCTCTTCATTTTAATTGATCATAACTTCATATGATGGAATGTACTGTCACTCTTTAACCGAGGACACTGGTTTTCAGGGCTCTGCCACCTGAACAGCCTGGAGAATCACTTCGAGCCAGAGGAAGGTAGTGTGGCTAGCACTGACTTGGAGAGCCTGCCAACTGGCTTTGAAGCCTAGATCTGCCTCCCACATTTAGCTGTGTGGCTCTAAGCAAGGTATTCATCTCTGCGCCTCAGTCCCCTCCTCTGTAAACCGGGAACAATAATCACCGTAGGACTGTAGTAAGCATTATATGAGTTAGTATGTGTACAGCCCTTACAGTGGCGCCTGGCACAAAAGAGCTACATAAGTTTTCACTGGTGTCATCATTATTGTCATCATCTTCATCACCATCATCATTCTGTGATAAACTTTCAAAGTCCTTCACGAGGGGGCAGAGGGTCTAAACCATGGCTATTGTTTTCTGATCTGAATTTGTGGATGGCCTGGAGCTCTCAAAGAAGACACCAAATGGGAGGGGGCCATCTTACCCGGATCATCACCATGTGGGACTCCAGCAAGATCTCGGGAAAACTGGGCTGCAGCACGTCCAGGCTGATGTTCGGCACTAGAAAAAGAAGTGACAGAGTAGGGAACGTTTGTCATACCTTCTCTCTTACAGCTGTCCATGCACCCACACAGCTGCCAGAGTCTGAGTGCAGCTTTCCTGACAAGCTGACTATCAAGTAGGTGAAAGTGTTGGGGATATGGAAGAAAACTTTGCCCAACTCTTGGTTATTCCTTCAGCTGGTATTAAGCACTCATCAGGCATTCTGAGAAATGCAAAGGCAATAGACGACAAGGCCTGGGAGCTCTGGCAGCTTTTGGCATAGTCACCCTTCATTTCGGTACTGGCACAGCTGCCCTCCCTGCTAGGCAGAAGAGCTGTAAGAAAGGGATCAAGTCTATCTCATTCACCAATATATCTCCAGGGCCCACATGGTTCTGTCATACTCAATAAAGAGTAGCTAGCTAGTTTGGCTCAGTGGATAGAGCATTGGCCCGTGAACTAAAGGGTCCCGGGTTCGATTCCAGTCAAGCCCAAGTACCTCATTTGGGGGCTCAATCCCCAACCCTGGTGAGGCAACCGATTAATGTGTCTTGTCTCTCTCACATGGATGTTTCTCTCCATCTCTCCCTCTCCCTTCCACTCTCTCTAAAAATTAATGGGGAAAAACCTTGGGTGAGGAATTTAAAAAAAGGAGTTATTTAGGTAATTAATTAGCTGGTTGGTTAAGTTAGGTGGTAAAAGAATGAAATGGGAAGCAGGGAGAAAAGAAATCAAGCAAGAAGAGGGCAGACTAAGAGAATGGGCAATGAATCCAAAGATGCACTGAGTTGAAGATGACATTGATGTGGAAATGTCACACTGGAGCCTGGGAGTATAGATACAGGCAGGGCTGTGGCTGTCACTTTTCATAAACGTCTTGGCTGGATGTGGAAAGCAGGGGAGCTCTACACGGGGGCACAGAGGGAAAGCACCGGCCTACTCTAAGCCTTGAGGGTGGAAGGTGCTCATGGTGCAGGAGGGAGAAGAGCCCAGAAGACTAGATAGATAGATCTGCATTACAGAGGCCACAGAGAAGAAGAGTCCAATCTGACAAAAGACAAGGAAAATGAGAAGAGACAAGTAGCTCTGGCCTCGAGTGAGGTCACTGGTCATTTCAAGGAGAGAAAGTGTAAGTGGATGAGAAGCAAAAGACAACTCATATGAAGAGATTAAGTTTAAAAAGGATGAAAGTGGAAACAATAATAAAGCAACAGCAGTCTAAAAGGTTTGTCTGTCTAAGATGTTACTTATAAATGTTTCCCGTCAGAGCCAGCCCAGGGAGTGACCTCACTCACACTTGGGATTGATGTGGTCCTCCACATTCCAGATGGAGCTGAGGGTTTCCTTTAGGTACGGAGAACAAGTAACTTCCAGCTGCTCCCAGCCCCTGTGGAAACAGTCACGGGGTCTCTCAGAAGACCTGAAACTCGCCAGGGAGAAGCACTGTCAACTGCCCTTACATCCATGGAACCCCTCTCTTTTCACCCAGGGGCCATGCTTTTTTCAAGCTTGAGCTATCCTAGGAATATTCTAGCATACAGTACTCCCATTTTAGAAAGACAGATAGATCCAGAGAGTACAAACGTTTACACAGATACAAATCTTCAACTATCAGAGCACATAAAACACCAGGGGAACTCTGGAACTCTGTGCTCTACAACACACCTGATGCTTGTCTCCCTCCACCTACCACTCAAAATAAGCAAACATTAGGTGAACACTGACAAGTGGGAGATGGAATCTTCCAGAATACTTATAGTGAGGAAGGAAAAGCATGAGGCTCAACTGGAACATCAAAACCCCAGAGACTCACCACTTGGGCAGAGCCTTTCCCGAGGAGCCCAGGACACAACCTGTGACCAGATGAATGAAGCGAATTCGACTTCTCAGCACTTTGATCCGGTTTCCAAATTTTCTGTTTATAACCTCAATCCGCCAGAAATCATTTGAGTCCCCTGTCCCATTCTAACACATAAGGCAAGGGGAAAAAATGCAAAGAAATGAAAAAAATTACTTTCTTACAAAGAAAGTAATATGGTTTTAGAGGAGACATTTCAGATGCCACTGTGTTACAAAGATCAAAGACGAAAATGTCTGAGGTGGGAAAGGGAACAAGAGGGCCTGGAAATATTTTAAGTGATGGATACTGCTCCAGCACTCACTATTCCAACCAAGAAAGTTAGTATAACTCCTGGAACCTGATGTCCAAGCCTTCACTTCATAGGACAAGAGTCTAAATTCCAAATAGATGTTTCTGCCCTTAAACCAAACTCAAGACATTACCCTGAGTCAACAGAAATTGATTTGGGCCATTTGCATCCATGACGTTGGCCATGTGGACACCCACTCAGCTAAACCAGAAAGGTCTGGCCTGGACATTGTACTTTGGAAATTAAGACAGTTGTGCCTAATTCTCCTCGGGAGATGCCCACAAGAAAAAAGTGAAGCTCAGAGTCTTGGCTCTAGCACATACTGGGAAGAGCAAATAGGGTTGGAAAACCCACTTTATGAAACCCAGAATTTTTACTTGCAAGGGAACGTAATTGCTAGTTCTAAGTCTAATTACCCACTCATTGTTTTTGTTTTCAAATTACTGTCCAAGCCATAAATACTCATTGAGCATTCTCTATAATCTGCATCGCCCAAGGTAGTAAAAATCCAAAAGCAATGTGGAGAATATCCCTCTGCAGAGGGGAGTAATCCTTAAAACAAGGCAAACATGAACTTGGGACCTGGCAAAGGATAAACGTACATAGTCATCTGGGGTTACATTTTGGTTCCGTGGCTTCTACATCCAATATGATTTAAAAGGGACCGACACAGTATTCATATTTGATATTTATTAAGTGTCAGAACATAAAAGTGGCATGGTTATTATGGAAGGAGAGAGATGGAGACAAATAGATTTCATAGGCTGTTTTTCCACAGCAAGCCTAGCCCAAAAGTCCCCAAATGCTGAGTCCCTGTACAGCCTCCATCCTTAGGAACATGCCAGCATTCTGGGGGGGACATGTTTGGCCATATGGCTTAAGCCAGGGTGTACACTTCAGTTGCTCACTTACTATGCCATAGCCAGTGACCTGGTAGTGCTTCCGGGTCAGGGGGGCCTCATGATAATGACTGTGCAAGTTCCGAGAGGTCCTAGAAGTTAGAAGAGAGAAGTTCCATTATCTGGAAGAAAAGAGATGTGCAGTTTCTTCTTTAACCAAGGATACTTAAGAGTCACATGTTCAGATTTTAAAAAGAACCTGAATGTAAAATTCAGCGTAGCAGGAACTCCTTGACTATTTACTCACAAGAAATATCTAGAGAATTGCAGAACTGCTCAAACCAGGAGGGACAAATGGTAGGAGTACTGGACTGCATGCCAAGAAAGGGACTTCCTTCAGGTGGAAAGAGCAGGTGGAGGTAGTGACAACACATTTGGTGGCTTTGAAGCACTTAGCTCGCAGGTATGGGTAGAAGAATCTTAAAATCTATAATCTGCATATGCCAGAGATAGCAAACCTTTCTCTCCTATCTATTTTTTACTCTCACCACCAATTTTATAAAGTGGGGATCTATGGGGAAAATGGGGATTTAATTTAACTTTTATTTATTTGTGCTTACTTAATCCATAATAAGAAATAGATGTTTATCATCAAAATTCTGGAAATTTTCAAAAATCCTACCTAATAAAGAGAATATGCTAACTGACCATCACACCCTCACAAAACTGGCAGTGGCCACAGCCTATAAGAAGGGAATATGCTAATTGACTGCCATGCCTTCAAATATGGTGGTGCCCACAGCCACAAGATGGCAGCACCCAGTTCCCTCAGCCCCACCAGGGCAGCAGGCACACAGTATGGGTGGCCCCAGTCCCAGGTGGCTCCAGCTGCTCCACGTACCTGCCTCCAGAGTCCCTCAGTCCTCTCAGTCCCCTAGCCCCCCAGCTGCCCAGGGTCAGCTCAAGGCTCAGGTAACCAGGGCTGGCCAAGGCTTGTGCTACCAGCAGTGTCAACAGCAGAGGTATGATTGGGGTGTTGCCTGCCCCTGATAGCCAGGTTGCCTCACATCCCTAAGGGCTCCCAGACTGTGAGAGGGGACAGTCTGGGCTGAGGTACCCCCTCTTCCAGTGCATGAATTTTCATGCACCAGGCCTTTAGTAAATTTAATAACAATAAATTTTACTTTATTAGAAAATAAAAATTATTTAATAATGAGATTAAAATTTTTAGTATCCATAATCATATTCATCAGGAAAAAAAAACTCAAATAATTTTGGTGCTGAGCAGAGTGTGCTGGGGAGGGGTGAAACGGGGTTTGGAAGGCTCTATCTCTGGTGCCTGAGATGTTGTAACTACCCCAGCAGCTTGTTCCATTTGCCAGAGCCTCATTCATACCAGACTTCTGTTCATTTCCAGCTTAAAAAACAACTCCTTACCTTTGGTGCCCATACCAATCACTTATCCCAAAGAGCAAACTTACTTACTCTTTATGTTCTAGTCGAATGATGTCTCCATGTTGTACAAACTCCACTGGGAATGAAGGGTCGAGGGGATCTGCCAAAAAGAAACAAGCACTGGTACCTGAAACCATTCGCTCATTGGGCCAGTGCTGATTGAGGGCCCATTGGGAGTTACAGTACCGGCATGTGCTAGAGATGCTGTCAGGATACAGAGAGACCAGCAGGAAAGGCCCTGATTGTTTCAGAGGACTAGAGAAGGGTGTGTCCCAAAATAATGTTTGAAAAGACTCTTAAAGTCTATATACAGAGATCCTGCCCAAGAGGGTCATAATTTCTATTACTAAAGAATAGAATGCAAAGACAGTGATGCAAAAACCACAGCAAGAAGAGGAGTGGGTAAAGGAACAAAGAAGGTGAATTCAGATGATCATCTGCTCTTTCCCCACAAAGGCTCAGGGACAGCTGACTTGAGACAGGCTGAGCAAGATGGTGTTTGCTGGGGAGTCACAGAGGATGCCTGTGGCCCAGGACAATCTGCAGGGGCTCAGGTGAGTGGGAGATGCCCTCTGTTCTCTCGCAGCTGCAGCAGAAGGCACAGCCTGCAGAGAGCTAGCTGCCTAACAAAAAAGCAAGATCCAGATACAACCCATGTCATGGGCCCTGAGAGCCCAAAAGGTGTGCCTCAGAGCAGCTTTGCCCGGCTAGGCAGAAGCATACTAGCAGACAGCAGCCTAGACAGGCCCAGCACAGGGCTGGCAGGCGCTCAGATCTCCAACTGACTGCTCAGTCCAAGGATGATCAGTAGGCAGCAACACTATCATATCAACACAGCTGGAGCTGTACCATAGGCTAGGGTCTGCAATGCTTGGCGTGTTCTAAATTAGAAATGAGAGCAGCCAGCATGTGCCCCAGTTGGGGCTATTCACCAGCCCCTGGAAATTCTCCAGATCAAGTCTGAGCTTTGGTCCTGCTCTCTGGCTTCAAAATGCAGCTCTGAGAACGAGATCTCTGTCTTGCTCACTGCTAATCCCCCAGGCAGCCAATAGCACTTTGAACTAGTAGGCGCTCAATAAATAACTGTTGGAAGGATAACTGAGATAGTAAACACGTCAAAGAATGCTCAGGAAAGCCCATCTTGATACCTTTCTCTGGGGGCATGAGAAATGTGCACGACTGAGAATAAGTAATCACACAAGAAGTGTCAGTTTCCCACCACATTACCTGAGTCTGTATTCTGCTTCTTGATAATCCACAGGTTGTTATAGTCCTTGTGCAGATAGGTGGTGACCTGGGTGAGGGTGAGGGGAGGGAGAAGGAAAGGGGAGGGAGGAGGCCATCATTATTAGCACAACCAGCCACAGGACAATCAACAGCAAACCAACATTGCTTAGTAAACCTTTCTGAACCCCAGCCACCAACCCAAGGGGATCAGGTCTCCCAGCAGGACTCAGAAACAGCATTGTGTGAGATTCTCGCCTTCCTTCTGCATTTAGAGGACTTTCCCACAAGAAGGAAGAACCATGATACCTTGTGTAACAGAGAGGATTTAGTGCATTTTAAAAAGTAATTAATCCATGGCCGGTGTTGCTCAGTGGTTAGAGTGTCAGCTCATGCACCAAAGGGTCTCAGGTTTGATTCTGATCAAGGGCAGGTAGCTGGGTTGCAGCTTCAAACCCTGGCCCTGGCACCTAATCCAGCACCAGGTAATCCAGTACCATGGCGGTCAGAGGGGAACACTGAAGCCTGAGCTGAAGCCTAAAGAAGCGGAGTTAACCATGGCAAAGAGGAAGAGGATGCAGGAAGCAGGGGAAACAGCGCAAGCAAAGGGTGGGCAGCACGAACGGGAATGGCGGGCTCAGTCCCACAGCAGTGTGGTGCTGCTGCCCTACCGGGGCAGAAGAGGCTCACGGACCTGCTGCTGGCGGGCGCCAATGCCCTCGGGGTAGAGGTGCCTGTGGGAGTGGAGATAGCCGATGGCCATCCGCAGGTTCTTCACGGTGATCACAGAGCCGAAGGCCAGGTCTAGGAGGAAGGCAGGAGGGAGTAGGGGTGAGTAGCACAGTGCTAGAAGCTACCGCTGACTGGAAGGGGCCTCCCAAGCCCTAGAGCTCATGACCCTCTTACAAACCCCACTGGGCTGAGGATACCCAAAGCAGGTGTGCCACTGCCTTCCTATAGGGTCAACTCAGGAGGGAGTTCACTGCAGGGTGCCCTTCTTCCCTCCCTCCTACGTACAAGGAAGGACCTGGGTAGTAACAGTGCGATTAGAGCACTGTTTGTAACAGTGAAAGATTAGACCCGCTTGTCCTTCAGTCAAGTCTGGACATACATTCAATGGAATAAAGGAAGAAGCATTCTATGTCGTTATCTGGAATGTTCACCAAGATATGATGGTACGATACACAGTTAAGACAGACTTCTGTGCTTCTGAATCCAGTACCATATGAAGTAACTATTTCATGGTATTTGGGCTTTTTCTTTACTCCAAGTTTAAAAAAAGGGGGGGAGGAGCGCGAGAAAACTTCATTTCTTCTTACTGTCCCTTTTCTCAATCCCTCAAACTCTGGCCACCCTGCCATTTCCCACTCCACCAAAAGGGGTCTCACTCCACCAGAGATAGCCCACCCTGTCTTCCTTCGTCCATTCACTTGGTCAGCAGACTGTGCCAATTGTTACACTTGGATCCGAGGTGGAGCAGGCCTGGTTGCACCCACAGCAAGCCCACTCTTGGGGAAAACGGCTTCATGCATTAACGAGCACAAGACAGTGGGCAAGTGCTCTGGCACATGTGACAATGTGTGACATGTGGGAGCCCAGGGCAGGGTAGGATGACTTCTCGCCCAAGGAGTAAGAAGAGGATGGCTTGAAGGAAGAGATCGCAGCTGAGCTCGGCTTTAGAAATGACGAATAGAAATTTACACACTGCTGACCATCTTTGCTTTTTGAAATGCCCTCTGTTCCTCCTTCTTAGCCCCATACTCCCTCATGAATGGCTCCTCTGCAGCTCCTTTCCTAGGTCCCCTTCCTCCTGCAATCCCCAGGGACCTGACCTCAGCCTTTGTCTCTTCCTCTCTCTACAGTTTCTTTACCGGTCCTAGCACTGCCACAGCACTGATCACCCTTTACGTGGCTGATTCCTCCTTTGAAGGCATCAGCCCCAACCCCGCTGGCTCCATTGCACGATTTCCCCAAGTACCTCAAAGTCAGAGTCTCTGATGTAGAACTCAATATCTGCCTTTCCAAACAGACTTCTTTGCCTGCTTTCCTCTTTCTCATTCTCTACACTGTCTTGGAGGGCCCAGAGTTTTGGGCACTGTGCAAGGCACTGGGGACACTAAAAGACAGTCACTTGGGCTCAAGTCCTGAGTGACATCTTGTTCCCTCATTTCCGTGTCCAACCTCCCTTGTCTATGCCCGGTTGCCTTATCTCTGTCTCAGTTCAATGCCTGCAACAGCATCCCAGCGGATATCTCCTGCCTCCAATCCCATCCTCCCCCTTGCCATCCTATACCTAACCACCAGAGGCATCTCCCTAAGGCACAGCCTTCCTGGCCTCCGCCCTCCCCAACACCTCCACTGGGTCTCCAATGCCTGTGTAATGAAGTCAAACACCTCATCCAGACATCTCAAACCCTCACTATCTCAAACCAACCTATCTTTTTCAACCTTATTCTCAGGTACTTTTCTGCATATAATCTGTGTTTTGAGTTTTGCCCTGTCCTTGGCCTTGATCATGCTGTCCTTTCTGCCCAATATGCCCTTCTCCTCTCTCTCCATCTGTGTAAATCTACACATTCTGCCAGGAGTCAGCTCCCAGACCATTCACTCTATTTCTCGCACCCTGTGTTCCCACTTTACGTACTTAACCCGAGCAGTCATATCATGCAGAGACTCTCTAAATCAGACTCTACACGCTGGAGTATGTCCACCTACCGCCTCCAACGTAACTAAGCCTTGTTCAGTTACTACCTATGAATAACTGAACACACGTGAGTTATAGCACACCACGGTGGAAACTGACCAGTGGCCCTGAAGGTCTAAACAGAGCCTCTCTGGTTGGCCTTCCCACAGAGCTGCTTGGATGTTTTCACAGCCGCAATGGAGAAGTCTCTTTTTAGGGTCAAAGAGTTTGCTGCTCAGAACATCTACCTCTGCACTTCCTGTGTTTCAACTCCCTCTCTTGAGTACTAGTTCTGGAAATAACTAGATCTTTCTCCCACTTTGCCCTCTACAGACTGAAATAACTCAAACTATCATAGTCATCTTTTTCTAATTCAACTCCCAGCAAACCCTCTGCCCTGCAGCAGGGCCGGGGGACACTCACACTCAGGGACGGAAGCGTTGTGAAGGGTGTTTCCTGAGAGCCGGGCCTGGAAGGCAGAGCTGAAGAAGCCATCGCCGGGACCGCTGTGGGAGAGCAGCAGGGCAGAGCCCAGTGAATGCAGTGAGACCATGACTTCCCAGGAGCCTGGAAAGAGCCCTGCTCGGCTCGTTTAAGAAGTACAGCCAGAGTGGCAGTGAGGCGTCGTGAGACAGATATGGGTAATGGAGGAGGAGAAACTGGGTCCAAATCCCACCGCAGCCACTTACTAGCTAGGGGGCCTTCGGAAGATACCTAACTTGGCTTAGCCTCTGCTCCTCATCTATAAACAGGGGATTTAAAGATTGCAAAGTAATTGTGATTAAATGAGATAATGGTACAAAATGCTGAACGCTCCTGATACTCAGTAGCTACTCGTTAAATGGGAGCTGCCGCTGATGTTACTGTTACTATTATCCTCACCCCAACTGCACACCTTATGGTGGCTCATCCCTCTTAGACTCCAGCGGCTTTGTTTAGGCATAACGGGCTTTTGGCTGCTAGGAAATTCTTTACTAAGGGAACTGGCCTTTCTGAGCATTTTGGATACCCAAAAGATAGATCCCAGGAGAAAACCAATAGGAAAACACCCTGGGCCCCCTCCTGTCAGCCCAACCACAGACCCAGGAAATCACACGGCCCACCCTCGGGCTGAGAGGCAGGAGGAAGACAGAGTGAGTGGCTGGACAGGCTCTGCTGTACCTGTGATTCAACACCGCAAAGTGAACAGCATAGATGGCCGTGTAGAGAGCCAGTGGCAGCACTATGAGGCACAGAATGCACGCAGTCAGGTGTTTTCCCACAGTCACCTGCAGACAGAGCCGGTGTTATTCCTTATGCCTTACAAGTGCATTATAGATGTTTTTATGTGTAAGTCAGAGTCACAATAAAATTGAAAAACTAATAGCCATAAAGAAAAACTCTGTGGAAATGCTTTCCATAACACCCATCACGGAAACAATGCTGGGGACTGAACAGGAGTCAGCCCCTTGTTGCCTGTCCAGGCTCTCATCCTGGACACCAGACTGTCACTGCACCACCAATGAAGTGTTGCCTGTATCTTCAGCATCGTCACTCATCGGTCCCCTCTACATCCCAGTCACACCGGTCCTGGAGCTTCCTGTATTGGCCAGCCCACCCATCACCTGGATGACTGCTCCTTATTTTAACTTCAGGCCTCTGTGTCTTCCCAGGAGTCCTCCTGTATCACCTGAGACTCGTTCACACCCTCCTCTGTGCTCTCACAGAACTTGTTGGTTGAACTATAATTACCTGTTCACTTATTTCTCTCTCTCCATTGTCTCTAGAAGGCAGGGATCGTTGTTTTATTCATCTGCATATTATGTCTCACACTTAGAGGATAGCACGTCTGTATTTTCTGAATAAATAAACTTGTTGGAACTTGGTTCAGAGGCCATGGAGCAGCATTCCGTAAGAGTCTGCCTCCCCTCAGTCGGAACCCTAGGTCTGCCTTTATGGCCTGTCTGACCTGGGGCGTGTTATTACCACTCTAGGTCTTGATTTCTTCATTTGTAAAGAGAAGGTACTAACTACCTACCACACAAGATTGTTACGTAAGGAAAATGAGATAATGAAGGTAAAGCATATTGCATAGACTCAGCCCTTCATAAACAATATTGTAATAAACCTTACTGGCTTCCAAATCTGGAAAGCCTGGATCGGGAAAGAAAACCCTGTGAATTCAGAAAGTTTCCCTGACCATTTCACCTGAGGTCCCCTGCGTCGGCGCCTGACATATACCAGTATTTGAATCCTCTGGCTGGGTAGTTTGCCAAAAATGAATTCCAGGAATGTGAGTCTATCCTCACCCTTTATACCACTCCAGCCTCTCAGCCATGGCCCACTTCCCCGTCCTGCTGCCTACCTAGAGCAGCTGGTCCAGCCTGCCTGGGCCCAGAACACAGCCACTCGCGCCTGCAGCAGAGGCGGAGGTAGGCCACTGGCTCTGCTGAGCAATACCGGGGAGCAAAGACATTTCTACAAGCACTTGGTTCTCACCAATGAAAGACTGAGGTCTCCAAACAGGCGCCAAAGGTCTGATACGGTGTTCCATCCCACGTGCAGGATGATAAAGAGGCCAACAAACTTGACCCCTATAGCACCAGCCAGATTAATGCCAGTCAGGCTGAGCCAAAACCACCAGGGGGCAGAGAAGGGCCTGAAAACCAACAAGACAGAGTTCAGTTTGGCAGCTGGAACCAAACTCAAATGCAAGAGCATCAGAGAGCAAGGGCACGGGTCCTCTGACTCTGAGGGGCTGCGTTGTGCCCTCTCTGTGAGGGCTCCTGACCTCAGGGGACCACATGGCTCCAAGGACAGTATGGTTTGTGAAACTTGAAACTGCAGGAAGCACAGTGTGGGTGAGAGTGAGGAGGATCTTTTTCTGTGAGAGGGGTCAATGCTTTCCTGGATAAGTAAGCAAGAAGTTTTTCTTCAAGGGATAACCAACTACGTGGATGTCAGAGGGAAATCCAGAGAAGCCACTGAATTGAGTCAGCCCTCTCCTTTGTCACCTCTGAACCTGTCAGAGCCAGCATTTGTTGAGTGCTCACTATGTGTCAGGCACTGCTCCAAGAACTCTACACACATTAACTCTTCAACTTTTGCTAACCCCACAAGGTAAATCCTATTATTATCCTCTTTTACTAGTACACACGGGGAAAGCAAAGGACAGAGAGGTTAGGGAACACAGCTAGCAAGCGGTGGAGCATGGTTCCAACCAGGGCCGTCGGGGCCAAGGTTTGCTGTACTTACAGCTCCTAACACACTGTGCTGCAATTTTCTCAGTCTGGAGGCCTCCCCTGCCAGAGCGAACTCTCCTTACCAGCCAGACCTAAGTCCCGCTGTACCTCCAGCTCCCAGCACAGTACCTGGCACAGAGTATGCATTCCAGAAACGGCAGGTGGAAATGAATCTGGCAGAGACAGGAGATAACCCAAAGCCAGAGAGACCCGGTGGCCACTGGATCAGGCTTTATTAGCATAACATCATTTAATGAGATAACATCATTTAGTGAGTGCTGTCATGGTGAAACCAAGTGGACTTCTAGAAAAGCCTAGACGAATCAGCTCTGGTTTAAATAGAATGAATGTATTCAACTCTCTCAGAGGTAGAAGAATGATCTGGAAAGGACTATCCTGGGGAAGACGAGGCCCTCTAGTACAGCTTTAGAACTTAGCAGGGCCTGCAGGGATCCTCTTGACTGTTAGGGGCCACTCAACCAGCCTTTAATACCTATTCCCACCGTTAGGTCAGGGCTGGATGTAACACCCACCAAGGGAAGGGAGACAAACATCCCAAGCAGGATCTACCCTGGTTCCCTCCCCTCTAGGAAGGAGAGTGTGAAGGATAAAGTTGTCCTGGGGTCTCCTAACCAGCAACGGGTAGCTTATAAATTGGTAGGAAGGCATTAGGACCCTTCATAATATCCACAAACCCCGACCTAAATCCACCCCCACTGTAAAAATGATAATATTCTTGAAAAATAATATAAATAATATAAATCGACATTTTCTTAGTCATAAAGCAAAAATAAATCTATAGAAAACTTTTTCAAATCTATTTTAATATCTAAGTTTTTTTAAAAGTTGGATTGCCTTAAACTCAGCCTCAAGACAAGTCCTCTAGGCACTTATCCTGTCCCTGGCCATTAGAGAAATTCTGGAGCTGCCGCAGCCTCTGGACCCCACCTACCCACCTACTCACCCGCCCCCCCCCACCCCCCCCCCCCCCCCGCCGGACACACACACACACTCCCAAAGATGGTGTTTCTGACCTGTCAGCACAGGAGTTGTACTTGACCATGCTCAGCATAGCAGCCATGATGAAGAACATCAAAATGGGGTCAAGGAGGATGTACTGGGACAGAGTGAGGCATCCTGTGTCTGAAAAACATGAGCTCAGTGGTCAAAAAATGGGATCAGAGATGGGTCCCCGAGAACCAAACACCCCAGCAATAAGTCCCCCTTGTGTTTAATTGCAGTCAAGAATAGATAGGCCACTGAGTCATTGGGGAGGTGGAAGGTCACAGCTTGGGGGTACACCAAAGCCCAATGATAGTATCCCACACTTCTTCCAGGCCCTTTACTCAAGAAAGGATCACGTCACTCATTCAGATAGAGCAGTCCTGAGATGAGGCTCATTTCCAGCCTCAAAAAAAGAGTTCTGCCACCTAGCTCATATAGCCACAAATGACCATTTTGCATGAAGTCTACATTGGGAGTTGATTTTCCAGATAGGCGCCAAAGTGAAACAAAACTTCATTACATCATGTCCCTACTTAAACTCTCCAATGTCTTCCCATCTCACTCAGACTAACAAACTCCTCATGACAATGCCGAAGTCTGCACGGTCTCCCTCCCTATCCCCTGCTACCAAGCTTCTTTGAGGCATCGCCCTTGCATTCAGCTAAAATTAGTTTAAGGAATACAAACTAATCTTTATAGTAACCTAAGAGAAGCAGAATTAGAATTTAGGCCTTCTTCACACACACACATACACACACACACACACACACACACACACACTCATCCACATATTTATCTTCCTATCCAAATAACTGGAGCTCATCTATGCCAACTCTCCCTTCTAATAATATAAAGGCTTGCTTCATACATATATATATATATATATATATATATGTATATATACACACATATATATATATGTATGAAGCAAGCCTTTATATTATATATATATATATGTGTGTGTATATATATATATATATATATATATATAGAGAGAGAGAGAGAGAGAGAGAGAGAGAGAGAGAGAGAGAGAGAGAAAGAGAAAGTATTACTACCGGTAGTGAATAAAATAAGATTTGTAATACATTTACTTAATCCTAAAGTTACTTAACAACTGGGCCCATAGACAGATCTGTAAATGTGTTGATTTCCAGCCACGTTCACAGTGTAGCAGACAATTTCCCAAGAAACGTGCTAGAAGACAACTTACCAAAGGTGAGGAGGGCCGCACTGAGCAGTGCTGCGGGGAGGGACTTGGACAGCTCCAGCACAGTGAGGTAGGCAAAGGGGATCAGCAAGGAACCGAGGAACGCACAGAACTATTTGGAAGAAAAAGAGAAGCAGTCAAATAACCGGATTAGCTAAGGCTCAGGGACCTACAAGCTCAGGTCTAAGACGGAAGACCCCAATGAGGGCATGACATGGTGACCTAAAATCAACTGGCACATGTATAAATGAGAAAGGGGTGGTGTAATCATGAGCCATCAAATCAAGCAGCATTTAGTTCCTTCCCACTGAGCACCAACTTGTGCACTGACATGAAATCAGCCAAGTTCAGCCAGGAAGGCATGGGCGGATGGCTCACTGGTTTCAGGTGGGGGGTGCGGGTTGGACTACCTATCACTACTAGCTGTGACCCCGAGGAAGCCACATGTCTCTTTACTCAGCCTTCCCATCTGTGTAATGTGAAGAATAAGAGTTCTTACCTCAAAGGGTTTACACTCTGAAGATTAAATGACCTAAGTTTATTAACACAGAGAAAAGTACTTGATAAACATTAGCTTCTACTACAAAACTGTGGACACAAGTTAAGAAAGGCCTGAGATGTATTAATATTGTAGAGAATTCTATGTTATTTCTGTTATTTCTCCCTTAGCCCTTTCCTTCAATCATACCAGGACCACTCTTTAATCTACAGGTTGTATTTTTTATTTTAGCAAAAAGATTGCTTTGCGCTTCAATAACTGGAGAGCTTTTTGTTTTATTTTGAACCATAAGCCTTCTCTGTACCTCCCTATCCTATCCATCAAAAGTAAATAGGCAAGCCCAAGGGAATGGGAATTCTCACATTTGGGCTGTCACCTTTTGTTAAAAGAGAGCAATGTGCACTTGTGTGAAAGGGAACAAGGCTGTCATATTTGGCCTTCTCAATTCCCATAACAAGTTCACAGTAAGTCAGGCCTATATCCAATTACTCATGCTATATGGTATTCAAAAGTCATTAAGAAGACACAAGAACACTTAGAATATGAACTTGAGGATATGGGACACTCCTTGTTTAGTATGGTATACGACCATGCAAATTAGGCAACCATTTGTCCCAATAAGCACTTTGTGTTTATCTAAAGTGTGTGAGCTCCTCAATGAAAGGGGTTTGTAAATGTAACTTGCTTTGAGAGCTCTACGTTGAAGGTCCTTTTCTTCACATCTCATTCAGCTACAGGTATGGAGTGGCCAGACTTAGGTGTTGAGGCCCTGCCATGCTCCATCAAGGCTGCTGCTGGGACTCAGGGCACAGAGGGAGTGAACACATGGCCTCCCTCCAAAGATTGGCACACCCATTGTGTGTCTGAAACCTTCATGGGAAAGAAGTAGGAACCCGGGGCCTGGAGAGTGGGGATGCTGAGTCTTAAGAAAGGGCCCTCAGAGATAAGCAATACTCCAGCAAGTGCGGTCTGAGAGAGGAAGAACATGTAGCTTGCCAATGTGCAGAGGCCAATGCTGGGACTCAAGAGACTCCTGGTGCTGGGTCCCAGGCTGCTCTCCAACCTGCAGTCTGATGCCTCACATGGGCATAACAGATTACAGGATGAGCTTGATCCTTTCTATGTAATCTCCACTATCTGTGGCCTCCCCTTCTCTTCTTACCCAAACCAGTTCTGAGTGTCTACACCTGAATTTCTACCGCAGCGTATGGATCCAGTCATCCTCCCCCCACCCCAAAGTCCGCTGTGTACACCTGCCACCACCCCATGATTTCCAACTGTAGCATTTGTGAGTGTGGCCCCAGGGTTCAGTGAGGCTCTTTCAAGTTAGGAAGCCTTACTCCTCTCATTCCCATGTAGTTGTGATGCTCATATCTGTCCCCGGGCTTCTGGAACATAAAGGTACCATCATACCCGCTCAGGTAGCCGGCAAGACCTATCAGCATCTGAGAGAAAGACAACAAACAAAGACAATGAGAGACCTTCCAGAGGAGATTCCTTCATCCCCTAAGCTTCCCTCCAGCAGCGCCCAGGCTTTGGCTTCCCTTGACAACTGTCCATAGAAGGAGTTGACAATGTGACATTTTCTCCTGCAGCTGTTCAAAGCAAAGAAACTTTTGTCTATAGAGCTCACTGCTTGAAACAAATCCTCTCTTGTGTTAAGGCCAAGTTCTTGGGAACAGTGCAGACTGGACACTTAGAAAGAAAAAAAATCCCACAATTTGAAGGGCAGGGCCAAGGAGGGGGTCGCTCATCTGCCTTCTTTCATTTGCTATGAAATAAAAGCTGATAGCACATTCAGAAGGAGGGGAAAGAGAGAGGTTGATTCCTGGAGCAACTGGAAAATGAGGTTGCAAGTCAGAATGAGGAGGCAGAAAAGTAGCCAAGTTTCTACACATCAGGATAGAGACAGGGAGGGAGGGGGATAGAAAAGAGGAAAGACAGCTGCATTTCCCCAGAGGGGAACAGAAAAGTCCCAGTGGGAAAAATGCAAAAAGGCCAGAGACTGGCTTCTCCTCTTTCCAGTATTCCAAGGGAGACAACCTTGGCACATCCCAAACCAGAACAAATCAACCATAAACTAAGACGAGAATCCTTCAAAACATTCGAGAGGGTCAGCCTCTGTCTATCTTTCCTTGGCCATCAATAGTGTAAAATTCTTTTCACACAAGCAATCAGAAGGAGCGAAAACATAAAAACTGCCAGCAAACACCAAGCATCTGTAGCAGCCCTGGGCTGCCCCAGCCCGACCAGCTGGGTTAGGCTGTGTGGAGGGAAAGCCCCTCCCGGCAGCACTGCTTGGGGGGCCTGGATTTGGACCACTGACCAGCTCACTCTTTTCTCTAAGTAGTTCCAGAGTCGCTGTCTACAGTTCCATGTCCAAGCATAGAACCCCAAGTTCAGCAGTAAGCGATTATAAAGCCTTGTTTAAAAATAAAAATTAAATTAAAAGAAGGATTCCCAGGATCCAGAGGTTAATTTAATGTAATTAATTTAATACAAAGTAATGGAAGGTATTGGAAAGACAGAGTCATCCAAAGACCCAGATGAACTAAAACTGGCAGGTGATAATCAAAGCAGATGCTCCTTCCTACCTGGAGTCTCGGAGGACAAGCTGCCTGGTGCCGATCTAAATTCCGAGATAGCTTGGCTGGTCAGGCACTCAGAATTCTGTTCCTTCTCAGTTCCCTCAAGGTTAAAAGTAGCCCTGAGCTAATTTCCTAACTGACTAACTCATTCAAAACAGTAGAAAAGAAACAGCTTACTACAAAAATGGGTAAATTCATAGAAAAGAAAATACGAATCACTAATAAACATGAAAAAGAAATGTTCAACTTAACTCATAAAGACATGCAAATGAAAACAGTGATGTACCACTTTTTACTTTCAAGTTGGCTGTTTTGACAGTAAAATCACACCAGTGCTAACAATGGTGTGGAAAGCAAACACCCTCACACACTGTTGGTGGGACTATATATCACTGCAAAAATTTTCAAGAAAACCTAGCAATCTCTAACACAAATTTAAATGTCCCTTTAATTCTCTAGTTTACCCACTGAGAATCTTTTTTATACACCTGTACAACTATGAAAATATATAGGTACAAGGATGTTCATGCAATATCTTTTGCTATGACTGAAAGTTGGAAATAACATAAATGTCCATGAATTGAAGAGAGGTAAAATAATTTATAGCACATCTATATAATAGAAAAATATAGTCATTAAAAAGAATGGAATACATTTTTATGTGCTAATGTGGAAAGAATTAAAGAAACATCAAGTTGCTACCCTGACTAGTATGGCTCAGTTGGATGGGCATTGTCCTGTGCAATGAAGGATTGCCAGTTTGATTCCTGGTCAGAGCACATGCCCAGGATGCAGGCTTGATCCCTGGTGAGGGGTGTACAGGAGGCAGCTGATCTATGTTTTGCTCTCATATTGATGTTTCTCTCTCCCTCTCTCTAAAAAAAAATTTAAAAAAAATAATAAACTATTCTCTTTTTTTTTAAATACAAATTGCTGAACAATTTTAGTCTGATCTGGTTTGCATAATATGCTGTTCATGTGAACTAATATTTATGTTTATAAATATGTGCATACTTATATAATAAAAGCCCAGCGACCAAAACAGTGGAATGATCAGAACACCACAGCCCCTTGCCCTGGCTGGCCCTGCCCCACAAGAAGCAATTAGGAGTGACCAGGCAGGCAGGTAGAGGTAGTTAGAGGTGATCAGGCAGGCAGGAGAGTGGTTAGGGTGATTAGGTAGGCAGGCAAGCAGTTAGGAGCCAGTGGTCCTGGATTGCAAGAGGGATGTCAGCCTTCTAGTTTAGGCCCAGTCCCGTAGAGATCCCTGTGGGATCAGACCTAAACCCCGAAAGGTCCTGGATTGTGAGAGGGTGCAGGCGGGCTGAGGGACTCCACCCCGCCATGCACAAATGTTGTGTACTGGGCCTCTAGTATTTGTATAAAAAGTTTCTGAGAGCCGAAGCCGGTTTGGCTCAGTGGTAGAGCATCAGTCTGCAGACTGAAAGGTCCCAGGTTCGATTCCGGTCAAGGGCATGTACATTGGTTACAGGCACATACCCAGTAAGGGGTGTGCAAGAGGCAGCTGGTCGATGTTTCTCTCTCATCGACGTTTCTAGCTCTCTATCTCTCTCCCTTCCTCTCTATAAAAAAATAAATAAAATATATATATATATATATATTTTAAATAAATAAATAAAAATAAAATAAAAAGTTTCTGAGAGGATACATAAGAAACTTAACAATGGTGACCATAGAGTTACCTCTGAAGAATCAAAATGAGGGAAGGGCCGACCAGTTTGGCTCAGTGGATAGAGCATCAGTCTGCAGACTGAAAGGTCCCAGGTTCGATTCTGGTACATTGGTTGCAGGCACATCCCTGGTAGGGGGTGTGCAAGAGGCAGCTGGTCGATGTTTCTCTCTCATCGACGTTTTTAGTTCTCTATCTCTCTCCCTTCCTCTCTGTAAAAAATCAATAAAATATATTTTTTTAAAAATGAGGAAAGGTAGCTTTTGATCTTCTATTTCCTTCTGCACTGATGACTTTTTTTCTATGTGCAGGCATTTTAATTTCTTTAATAGTACCTATTAGACTGGAGCCCAGGTGCCCAGGGCTGGGATCTGCATAGTGTGTCAGGTACAGGCTTCAGTACTGGAAGAGAAAATGCCCTACTCACTCCTTAAAGGGGCTTTTGACTGGCTTGGCCTTAGAACCTATGGAAGTTACTCTGCTTTCTCTCCCACAGTTTTCTTATTTGTTCATCGCTGTCTTTCAGCCAGGGAGAGCACAGGACCACCAGGAGGTAAGTGAGAGGAGCAGGGGGACTGCACTCCCTGGAGGCAGGCTTAGAAGCCTCACATGTCTCTCTCCACACAGGGCCAGAAGTGAGGAAGGGAAGGCTTCAGGAAAAACAAATTAGCCAGTGTTTTCTGTCTCCACTGTGCCAATCGCAAGGGGACTCCAAAAGCCACAGGCTGAAAGACTAGGCTGGGTTTCCTGCAAAAAGCCTCCTCTCCAGAGGTCTGGTTCCCAAGCTTTATGCTTTCTCTCCATTTATTTTTTCTGATTTTCGATTGAGATAAAAGTCATGTACTGTAAAATACACCATGTTAAAGTATACTGAGGTTTTTAGTTTATTCATAAGATTGTGCATCCATTACCACTACCTAATTCCAGAACATTTCATCACCCCAAAAAGAAACTCCGCACCTATCTGCAGTCACTCCTCAATCGCCTTCCCCCTTAGATCCTGGCAACTACTAATCTTCTTTCTGTCTCTGTGGATTTGCCAATTCTGGACATTTCATTTAAATGGACTCATACAATATGTGGTCTTTTGTGTATGGCTTCTTTCACTTAGCATACTGTTTATAAGTTCCATCCATGTTGTAGCATGTATCAATATTTAGTTCCATTTTTATAGCTGAATAATACTCAATTGTTTAGATATACCACATTTTGTTTATCCATCTGTCAGTTGATGGACTCTATCTCAATTTCTGAGCCCAGAGGACCCCTAAAAATACCAAAGATTTTCCATGAAAGCAACTGGTCTGAAATGTCAGGCAATTCTTTCTGTGAGGCCAAGAATTAAATCCAAAACCAAGACTTGGCTGCTGTTCGTCACTGCTCACCTTTCCCAGCGGGGGGTGCACATCAAAGAAAAAGGTACGGTTGATATAGTAACTTCCCATTTTTCCAAAGTGAGTCTCATCCCAACTAAAGAAAAAACAAAGAGAAATGAGAATTTTAAAATTATCATACAACCCAAATAGCCTTCATAGAGCAAGATTAAAATTACAGTTAAAACCAAAGACTATGAGTTTCAAGCAATTAATGAGAAATTTTGAATTAAAAAAAAAATAGTTTTTGACATAGTGATTTGAGGAAGCAAGACCTCAAACTGGTCATTAATCTTCATTTAGATAAATTTTAAAGGTTAGCAAATATTTACAAACCATTTATCGTAAATTTAAGTTGAATCTATACTTATTCTGTATCTTGACTTCCTGTTTATTTTAAAGAGGCAAAGAGTTTTCTTACAATACAGAAAGGTTTGTAGTAAGGTTTTCTTTCAAGGCTGCTAAACTTCAAACTCTGAGACTATGTTTGCTACTAGAAACTATATTACTATTATAACAACCTATATCATGGGCTACTGGTCAGAGAGAGCCTAGAAACATGATGTTACAGAAGTCTGATTTTGTTTATCAACCTGTGGTAATTAATCTGCTGACTATGAACTCGCTGGTCTTATTTCAATGAACTATTATGTAAAAGTTGAGAGCTTTCTTACTAGTTAAGGGTCTAACTAAAATATATTCTCACTGCACAAGTAATTTTGTAAGGCAATAAGTGATTCTAACACATTGCAAAGTCTTGTTCTTCTATACAACCACATAAAACTTTTTCAAATATATTTTTATTGATTTCAGAGGGGAAGAGAGGGAGAGAGAAACATCAGTGATGAGAATCCTTGATCAGCTGCCTCCTGCACACCCCATACTGGGGACTGAGCCAGCAACCCGGGCATGTGCCCACATGAGGAATCAAATGTGACCTCCTGGTTCATAGGTTAACGCTTAAATACTGAGCCATGCTGGCTGGGTAACACATTAGCTTTTAAACACAATGCAAAGTCTTGTTCTATACAACCACATCAAACTTTTGACACCGTACATGAGGGCTTTGCAGTGGCAGCCCCATTACCCAGCTGAACCTGGTCATTTCTGTTTGTCAGTCTCTCTCTTTGCTTTCTGGTGACTATCCCATCTCAGGCCACCTTCCATAACAGGCAAAAGATGCTTTTCCAAAAATAGTGATGTCTAAGGGAGAAATCACTTCCAAGCAGTGTGACAAAATGGAATGCAGAAAGAGAGGTCCAGTCTAGCAGAGCACTTCCTGACCACATGGCTTAGCAAAATTACTCACCTTCTCAGATCCCTTGTCATCTACACAATGAAGACAGTAACAGCATCTGCCATGTCCCCTCACAGGGAGGTTCTAGGGCTCAATTCAGATGACACACATGAAAGAACTCTAGGACTAAAAAGTCTCACACATGCTGGGCACAATTTAAATTGAACTAGCATTTGTGGTTAGCTATGAAGTCTGTTTGAAAACCTAATGACAAAGGAGTATGAGATTTTCACTTCAAAAACGTCCCAGATAAAAGTAGTACAGTAAGTCCACACTTAACACTGTCAATAGGTTCTGTGACTTTAGGCAAATGATGTATAATAAAAACAATTTTACAATAGGAAAATTGTTATAAACAAGAGTTAATTTCCTATGGCATCTCAATATTACAACAAAACTACGTTGAACGAGACTGTTAATCAACATTAATAGAGGGCCTGCTATTGTAATATTCACATTTCTTCTTGGCTTTTACTGCATGCTTGTGTTGAGAGAAACAGTCCTCCTTGGATCTCTCTTGCTCCCACAGACCTTGCAGGGTATGCCAAGGATGCAAGGCCCTGACCACTCTTTTCTATGGCCATTTCTCAGGGCTGTGTATAAGCAAGCAACCTTGAGGGAAGAGTTAGCGTATCCCTCTGTCACAGAAGCAGTCTGTTTCCTGCTTGTTAGTACACAGCAGAGTCCCCAAGCTCAGTATTCCTCAGCTAATGCAGCCCAATGCACATGCAGACATTCATCCACCCACTGCATCACATGGAACTGAGGATAAAGGGACCCAGTGCCAATGTGCGGATGCTCATCCTGCTTGCTGTGCCACAAAAAGTTCAAGTCCTTTGTCTCTGACCCAAGACTTTACCTTCTGCCAGCATCCATAGAACAGGCTAACTTCTTAGCTTGCAAGTAGGGTTTTAAAAAAAAAAAAACCTCACATCCTGACAGTATTTGGCAACAAGCATAAGATACTGAGAGCTTTCTGTAAGAGAAAGGACAAGGACCCCCCACAGGCTGGTTTAGAGGACATGAGAAGACTCCCCGGAATTTGGTAGTGAATGCTCTTGCCCAGTGGTAGGCAGGGAAGGCAGTAAAACTCCTCACTGTCCTACCTGTTCATGAGGCTGAGCAGAGAGAGGCAGGATTGAAACCAACCATCTAAGCCTTAGTTACTGCTCACTCTCTTCTGGGTGGGAGGAGGAAGAGATATCATCATGTCAATGAGCAGCACACCTAGGAGCCCCTGCTCAAAGGCAATGTGGATGTGGCTGCTGAATCAGGAAGTCTCTAAAGCTTATACCAAAGGTGCCAGCAGTAAGGAAGGACCTTGCTACTCACTGTAGAACTTTAGGTGAAGTGAAAACTTTAGGTGAGCTGTGTACTCAAACCAAAAGTAAATGCTCCTTGCTTAGATGTTCAGAGCCATTTTCTCCCTCTGTGTCCCATGATCCCTCCCCTTTACCGTAACCTCAGCTGCTTTACAAAGTAAGATGATTAAAGGTAGGCCAAGGTCTCACTGTCCCCAAAGGGGGCTGAAGGCCATACACACTCATCCTATGATGCTGGGCAACTCCAGGGAGGAGAGGCACTCAAACTCAGGATTTTATCGGAATCAGGGTCCACATCTCCATCCTACTCAATCCCATGAGAGGAGGATTTGCTGGGTGCAAGGGTTACCAAAGGTGCCGAGTAGTGCATGGAGAGCTACAGCAGTGTGTACAGGGACTGAAGGAAAAGGGCCCCTAAGCCCAGGGGGTCACCAGATACATGGCAGTAGACTGGGGAGGAAGTGGTGCCAAGCCTATCAAGGGGCTAAAACTTCCTCCACCCCCTGCATCCAGCACTCCCCATACTCTCTACGGGGGAATGCTGTGATCTCTGGCTGGCTCTCACTGTGACTACTGATGCTCAATTCAATTGGAAGGTTTGAATCAAGTTCCCAGTGGGAAAGTGAAGATAATGTGACCCTGTGGGTGACCCTCTTCACCATTATTGTGGCTTACATTACTGAATGTATAACTGGTATTGATCTCTTAAGTGTCAAGGAGGATTATCCCATTCAGGGATTGTCACATGCTGAGTTGATACTATCCCCTCCTTGGTCTAGGAAAAAGAATACAAATCCCAAGAAGGGAAAGGGAAAGCACATCTTTAAAGACCCAATGGGCTGCTGGAGCTCCCAGAGGCAATTCTCCATGATAATAGCGCCCCCTGCTGGATGCAGGCACCAAGTACATATTTATCTATTTGTTTATTGGTACATACTTTTTTTTAAGGGGGCTGCTATCAACCTACTACCATGCTCAGCTCTCTTGAAATTGAGTGCCTGCCATGAAGGCCTTAGGACTCCTGACACTTTGGGGTGGGTCAACTGACTCTACAAACTAAAATCTTTCAGAAAATAAATATCTCCTCACAGGATGGTCCCAGACCTGCTTCTTAGAACCCCTGTCACCATCCCGGGACAAGGATCAAGTTGTCCCTGCTCCCAAGGATCAAGGTACCCAGTTAAGAATTTCCTCCTCCACTGGTGCTTGGAAATTCTGCAGATTAGGAACTCAGATCTTAGGAAATCCAATACTAATAACTTCTGGTTCTCCTTTGAATGCTCAAAGCACCTTTAAAAGCCACAATGGGAGAGCCAGGTGAGACACTGCAGCATAACCTAGAAGGCATCAAGACTGCTCCCTCATACCCTAAGAATCCCACTGCCACCCACCAGAGCAAAGATTCAGACTGCTATTAGCCAGAGGCAAACACCAGAAACCTCAGTTTCCCTTCCAGCGCGACCCCGCCCCCTCTTCCTGTGGGTCCCGCCCCCTCCGTGCTCCAGGACCAATCAGAGGACGCGCCCCTCCTTCCAGGTTACCATGGTGCCCCTGAGTCCCGCCCGTCACTCACCAGACGTGAGGTGGCTGGTCCAGACGATGGAAGCGGGTGGCGAAGGCCAGCAGCGTCACCAGGGCCAGCAGTACCCACCGGCAGGCCGCCTCCGAGGGCCGTGAGCCCGGAGCGGGCCGTTTGGGGTTCTGCGCCGCAGCCTCAGCGGCCTCCTCCGGGACCGCGGCCCTGGCAGCCTGGGGCCCACCGCGGCCCCTCCGGTGACGTAGCTCGGACCCTGCCAGGCCTCCGCACACGGCCGACGGCATCCTTCCCCTCCTCAGGCTCGCCCTCCGGCCCGCGGGCACGCTAGCCGTCCCGCCTAGAAGTCACAGAGGGGCGGCTCGGGGCGCCCTGGGAAATGTAGTTCCCTCTGCCGGCAGCGGGGCGCGGACCTCGGCCTCTGGGCTGGGCGAGGAGCGCGGTGGACTCGGCCGCTAGGAGGCGGCCAGTGGCGCAGAGCATGACGGATCGGAGGGCCTTGCGGGCCGGGCCGGGGAGGAAATGGGCTCTGGGAACTGCAATTCCCAGCAGTGCCGGGCCTGGGGCGTGGCGAGCTAGGAGGGACCGTGAAGATCATTCTCGTCCAGCCCCCTGCTTTCCCCAGACGGAAGCCTGGGTTCTGAAGTGTCGGTGTCCCACTTGGGCCTCAGGCGTCGACGAGTCGAGGAGTCCCCGGGCGCGAATTCCTGGCCTGAACGAGGGGTCGCCCGAAGTGCGAGATGCAAGTGGGGAAGGTCTGTGCCTCGCATCCGGGGAGAGGGGCGCTACTCACTGAGGACCTGGGGGCGGGGCTAAGGGGAGTCAGGCCCCGCCCACAGTTCCAGCCACGACTCCCAGCACGCAGTGCGCTACGTTGGTCCCGCTTCGCGTCTGCGCGCTGCCTGATTGGGTGGGGTCGGGGGGCCTGCCGTGGGGTCGGGTAGCTAGCAGGTCCCACACATTTCGCTTGATTCCCCACCTCTCCGTGAGGGCTCCCAAACCTCATCTCTCGCCAACCTGGTCTGCACAGCCCTGCGTGTGGGCCGGAAGGAACAGTTAACACGTGGCTTTCCGGGGTTGCTTGCATTTCTAGAGAACTTCAGGGGCGAGGGGAGGCAGTGGCACTTCACAATCTCCTGGGCCCGCCCCCAGCTACTGTCAATCTCTGGAGGAATAGGCCCGAGAATCTGCATAGTTTAATATACGCCCCAATAGAACTGCTCGAAGGAGGGTGGCAGACACATCAGGTGGGATTTAGCATTACTTCAATAATGTAGAGCTCTCCCAGTCCCAAATGGGATTTTAGGGGTCATGTGTAAGAGATGGCCTTAAAAAATCAATGAGAAACTATCCTTGGGTGAAGATTAAAAAAAAAAAAAAAAAAATCAGAGTGGTCAGAATCTATACTAGAATTGGAATCAGAATTCCTCCCAGAATGATGATGGGATGGATACTTGGGCTTAAAATTCAGCTCTGCAAATGTATAAAGGAACACGTGATGGTTTGTATAATTATCATTGGTAAAAGAAAGAGTGGAAACTGCCCATCAGTATGTCAGCTGATGGCCCATAAGTAGAAAACCTGAGGGCAGTGGCATTTACAATGACTCTGGTCACCCTTGGTACAGGTCAAAGGTGTAACATTTAGTAATCAAGAAAGGCATTTCTTTAAGGATTCTCGAGCTGATTCTGCCACTCTCTAGATTTTATAACAAACAAAAACAGACAACAGGATTTGTATAGGAAACATCCTGACTTTTTAATGTTGGCAACCACAATCTTCCCTCGATATCCACAGGGCATTGGTTCCAGAAGTCCTGTCCCCCACACATACCAAAATCTGAGGATGCTATTATAAAATAGCATGGTATGTTTTAAATCATTTCTAGATTATAATACCTAACCTAGCGTAACTGCTATGTAATTGCCCTACTGTATTGTTCAGGAAATAATGACAAGAGAAAAGGTCTGTACGTATTCAGTACAGACCCAACCAAAGCAACCATCATAGGTTTGACTACATAGCACACGTCAATAACAATGTAATGTTTTCTTCTGAATATTTTCCAGCTGTACAGATAAGTGTAATTGAGACATTTTTAAAACCTGTGTAGACCAAACAGAACCTTGGGCTGCCAGTTTGCGATCTCGGCTTTGACATGGATGGGCATATACCCCAGCTATTTTGATGGGACCAACTGACAGCCTGGAGGACTGGTGGGTCGGGGGTTTGAAAACAACGGACACAAAAGCATCAAGAATTAGAATTCCTGGGGAACAAAAGGGGGGAAATGGGAGACAACTGTAATACTGTCAGCAATAAAAGACAAAAAAGAATTAGAATTCCTGGTCTCTCTGCTACTGCTGGAAGGGATCTAAGCCATCTTTTTAGCGAAGCTCTTCATTTTACAGAATAGAGAAGGCAGGGATTTACTATTACTTGTCCAAGGTCATACAGAGCTGGTTCCTGCGTGGGGATCAGACCCCCATATGCCAGCTCCCAGCCCACTGCACCCCCTAAACTCCTTACCTCAAAACTAGGCTACCCTGTCTGCCCAGGACACCAAACCAGGAGCATAAGAAACCTCCCAAAATTTGGGAAAAGATGCCCCTTCAGACCTGAGTCAAAGTCCTCCTGACGCCTAGCCTCGCACAACTTCCCCATTGGCTCATGGGATCTGCCCCTTCCGGAACCCTCCCCCTGCCCTGCTGCTCTGTGACAGGGGACATTCCTCAGGAGGCCAAGGGTCACCACAGCACCATGTCTGAGTCTGGCAAGGTAAGGAGAGCTCTTGCAAGCTGACTGTCCTTTTGGGCGTTCCCGTCAGACCTCAGAAATGCACGACAGCCCCGTTTGGAGCTGAGAGACTACACAGGACTCCTGAGGCCTCTGACTCCGATGCTCTGACTCTGGCTGAGGAAGGAGGCCTGGAGGAATGGCGAGGCACAGACCCCTGGCTGGGACTGGGGCCTCTTCTCCAGTGGGCTCCTGGCTGGGCCACACCGCATGGGTTAATGTACCCCTCGTCCTCTCTTTCCTCAGCCCATCCTCTATTCCTATTTCCGAAGCTCGTGCTCCTGGAGAGTTCGGATCGGTAAGAGCTGCGCCTCCCCCACAAGCCTCGTTGGGGTGGGATGGGGTGGAAGAAGCCCCAGGTGGAAGTGATAACCTGGGCCCAAGCCAGTTGGGCTCAGCGGATACAGTGTTGGCTCATGGACTGAAGGGTCCTGGGTTCGATTGCAGTCAAGGGCATGTTGGTTGCAGGTTCCTGGGTCCTGGTTGGGATGCATGCAGGAGGCAACCAATTGAAGTGTCTCTCTCACATCTGTCTCTGTCCCTCCCTCTCCCTTCCGCTCTAAAACTCAATGGAAATATATCCTTGGGTGAGGATTAACAAACAAAAAAAGATGGCCTGGGACAGAGGGGTGCTCTACCAGACAAGTGGCCTCTCACATGCTTTCCTTCCTCCCCTCTACCCCCCCCTCCATCCCCCTGTTCCCCTCCAGCAACCAGCAAACCAGCATCCCTATCTTCTGGAGCCCTCAGCACTGAATGGCCCCTCCACCCAGGAAGTCCAACCAGAGGAGGGGGGCGGTTACCAGGGAGGAAGGTTGTTTTTTCTTTTGGGCCAGTGTCTCTCCCACCCTGCCCTCCAAAGCTCCTTAGCAACCATGCTTAAAGCAGACTCACAAATCTAGAGGACCTTGGTAACTGGCAGGAAACAGCTGGCCTTCCTCAGATCTGAGCTTATTTGATCTGGCCAATTAAACAGAACTGGCCACTGTCCACCCCAGCTTAATCCTTCCCTCCCTCAGTTTCACACAGCCCTTGGCAAAGGTCAGAGTCCTAGCAGCTCATGCTGAGGGAGAATGTGCTGAGTGCTTTTGTGTACATAACTCCATTTAAACCGAACCACCCTAGGAGGGAGCTTCTATTATTGTCCCCTTGGTACACACGAGGAAACTGAGGCTCGGGAAGTTACTTGCCCAAAGCTTCACAAGCTAGCAATTGAAAGTGATGAAATGTGAAGCTGCCCCTAACTGGAAAGCCGTCCTCAGTGACCCCTCCCCCATCCCACAGGCATTTGGAATTTGCTGGAATCAGTAGGCAAGGGCATTGGAGGGCCAGAGGGCACTTTTCTCCAAGAAGATGCCTTCCCTGGGCCCAGAGCTTCTACCCTGGCTGGGCCAGAAGCAGGAGCAGCAGGAGCACTGTCTCTGCAGACATGGTCTCTCCCATTCAGTCTCAACCACTTCCACTCTCTCAGTTGGCCAGTGCTGAGGAGGAGCCCCTTGTCTCCCAGGCTCCTAGCTCCTCTGCCCGTGCCTGAGACTGGCCATCACCACAGTTAATGCATAAGCGTGCATGGACACACTCACACACCACTAGCACTGACAGGGTTTTTATCCTCGCCTTGCCAGGGGGAATTATCAGTGGGGTTGGAGAGAAAACCTGGTCACTGGTGGTCACAGCAGATGCGCTGCTTGCAATCCTTCGTAAACAGAGTAGAGAAAATGGATTGCAAAATGCTTCTTCTCTTAACAGTGGCCTCTGCCTGTGTGTGTGCTTTATGGTCACGTGATCCCCTTCCCTTGGCCCTGAGAAGCCTGCATGAGGGAATAACTGTGTGTCTCCAACACAAAGCCCTATTGGCCGCTGTTCAAGGCCCTGGAGGGGGAAGAGATGAGGAGGACACTTCCCTGCTGTCCTCCAGAGCCCACTGTGCCAGGGCAAGAGAGGCAGGGTGTCATGGACCTGGGTTAGGGTTTTGGGGGGTGCCCAAGGAAGCCAGACTGCCTAGCAATATGGAGGAAGGAGTCTCCCTCTGCAGCCTCATGTCGCCCTGGGACGTGGAGCCAGAGGCTGTCCCCTGACTCTGCTGCCTCTCCTAGCTCTGGCCTTGAAGAGCATCGACTATGAAACAGTGCCCATCAACCTCATAAAGGATGGGGGCCAGCAGGTAAGGAGGCTGCCCCTGGCCACAATATGGGAGCTGGAGACCTTGGAGAACCCAGCAGGGGGTGTAGAGGCCCCCTGGCAGAAGAGGCTGCTGGCTCTCCCTCATGGGAATGGCTGGTAAGCTGTGCAACAAGAGGAGCTATGGGAAGGACCCAGGCTTCAGGCTCCATATCACAACCCGGCCTCTCAGTGCCTGACCCCAAGGGGGTGGGTAGCAAGTGGGTCCTTGCCCATGCTGAGACCTCTGCATGTACCTAGGTGGCCAGTGTGTGAGGGGCTCACATTGGGATGAAGCCTGGAGCTTGGCAGCCACTGGGGGCTGGGATATTGCACAGATCGCTCAGGCATCACCTCCAGCCTTCGAGCCATGGCCTTCCCCAGGGGAGGGAGATGGGGGGGGGGTGCAGCAGGCCTAGGGCCTTTCTGCTTAGGCCAGGCCAGGCCACCCAGTGCACCACGACCCTCTCTCCACAGTTCTCCAAAGAATTCCAGGCACTTAACCCCATGAAGCAGGTGCCAGCCCTGAAGATCGATGGCATCACCATTGGCCAGTCGGTGAGTGCAGGCTTGGGAGGCCCCTCCGGAGATTGGTACCCAAAGGAGAGGGCCTCACAGCTCATCCTTGCCTGTGTGAGGCCACAGCACCCAGCTCTTAGTAGGAACACCATAGCCATAAACCCTTGTTAAAGGGAGGAAGGTTGGCTGGTTGCTTTGGGATGAGAAGGGAGACTCAAACATAGGCAGAGCAAGTTCTGCAGGATGAGGGTCCAAAAAGAGCTTATCCCTCTCCTCCCCTCCCCTCCCCTCCCCCCATCCCAGGGAGCCTCTTGGCTTTACAGGCTTCCAGCTGAGTAGGGCAAGGAGGAGAAGGAAGGGGGGAGGAGGAGAGGGAGGGAGAGAGAAGAGGGGGAGGGGGAGAGGAAGAAGGGGGAGGAGGAGGAGTTTGCAGGCCCTTCCCCTCTGGTCCAGGGGCCCTGGGCCCTCTCCTGCTCCCCTCACTGCTCCCTCTGGACAGCTGGCCATCATCGAGTACCTGGAGGAGACTCGGCCCACTCCGCGGCTCCTGCCTCAGGACCCAAAGAAGAGGGTCCTTGTGCGCATGATCTCCGACCTCATCGCTGGCGGCATCCAGCCCCTGCAGGTGCAGCACTGGTGGCACTCTCTCTCGCTGACTGGCCAGCCCAGTAGGGGCCCAGCTTGGGTGTGAGGTGGCATGATAGGGAGGAATTTTCAAGAACTTAGACTAGATCACATGGTGGGGCAGGGGAATGGGAGGGATCCCAGAAATGACTCACTCTGCTGGGTCCCCATTCGCACTGTCAGAAGCCCTGGGCATCCAGCGGTGTGGAAGGGGAGAGGCCAGGTGGGGGGAGGAGGGGGGCGCGTGTAGAAGAAGGGGGGAGAGTCTGAGCAGCTCAGCCCAGGCCGCCTGCCTTTAATCAGAGCAGCCTCCCTTTCGTCTGTTTGTGTATCATAGCTTCGGATTCCCATAAAACTTTTATTTTGTAAAGTCATCACTGATTTTTTTAAAAAGGTAATACAACAGTTCATCTGTGCTAATCCCTGACTTTGCAAATGAAGGAATAGCCCCAGAAAGATGGAGTGACTTTGCAGACATTTAGCTAAGTGTGACGGAACAAGGACCGCAGAGCTCAAGACTGTGGCTGTGCACCTGTGCCCACCCCATGTCCCTTTGTTTTTTGTAACAAAGGAGGTTGTAGCAGACAGTCATCCTCATTTTATAGATGAGGAAAACTGAAGCCCAGAAGTGAAATGGCTCCAGGGGTGTGAGGATGGAACCAGAGTCCAAATCTCCTGACAGCCCGTCCTATGTGCCTTCCCCACCCCACATCCACTCTTCACAAGGGGCCATGTACGGGAGAAGGGATGCAAGAGAGATAGTCTTGGGTTTTGGCCACACCCATCACAGCCATGGCTGTGTTCTATGTCCCCACCCTTGCACATCTCTGCCAGAGTCACAGGCTTCCAGACCATAGGGACCACTGGGACAGCCTGAGAAGGTGGTTACTGATATCACTGCCCCCCCCCCCAACCCTTTTAACCTTGCAGCCCTGATTGAGGAAAGGGCTTACTCAGAGTCTGGGGGCAGAGAAGAACAGATGGACAGCCAGGGTCACTTGGGAACTAAGCTTTCCTGGGGGCTTGGCTGAGCAGGCCCAGCCTGGCTCCCAAAACCAATCACAGACTTTCCCTGGGCTGCACAGAACCTGTCTATCCTGAAGCAAGTAGGACAGGAGAACCAGCTGGCCTGGGCCCAGAAGGCCATCAATTCTGGCTTTAGCGGTGAGTCCTTCCTTACTCCTCTCGGAGAAACGGCCCTCATGCCCATGGTCCTGGGCATCTGAAACAACTTTCCAGCCTCCTTGGTCTTGACAATGGCATGGATGAGGGTGGGGGGCCTTGGTCTTGACAATGGCATGGATGAGGATGGGGGGCCGGACTGAGGCCCCCCACCCTCACCCTGAGGCAGTGGGCTGGGCGGCACCCAAATCTGGCCTCCACCTCTGGGAAGCTCAGAACTTGAGGCCCTTTGGAGCTGGATGGCCCCACCTCTGCTTCATAGCCTACTCCAGCCAGGAAACCAAGGCCAGCAAAGTGCCAGCCCATCAGTGTGAGAGCTGCTGCCTGGGCCAGTGGCAGGCCTGATCACCTCTAAGAAGAACAGCTGGAAGACATCTCATCCCCACATCTCTACCAACTCACTCTAGATGTGGCTGCTATATTCCCTCTAGCATACATGCCCTAGCCTGTCACTCAGATCCCGCCCATTTCACAACTATAGAGGCCAGTCTCCCTTTGCTGTGCCAGAGTAAACTTATTCATGTCCCCCCACAGCCTTGGAGCAGATACTACAGAGCACAGCGGGGAAATACTGCGTGGGAGATGAGGTAAGCTCTCCCAGCCTCGCTGAGCTTTCCCTTAGGTGACCAATGCTGTAGAGCCAAAGACCATCAGAAAACACAGATATTTACATTACGGTTCATTAACAGTAACAAAATAACAGTTAAGAAGTAGCAACAAAAATAATTTTATGGTTGGGGGGTCACCACAACATGAGGAACTGTATTAAAGGGCCGTGGCATTAGAAAGGTTGAGAACCGCTGGTCTAAGCCATCCCTCCACCCCAGGGAAAGCTCAGTGAGGGCAGAGGGAGGGGAGGTGATGGAGAGAAGGTGAGGTGGTCCTCCCTGTGCCAAGCAGAAGGGAGCTTGGGGAGCTCCTGTGCTCACTCCTAGTCAGTGCCTCAGCAAGAAGGGAGTCTTGTTCAGCTGAAGATGTCATGTCTGAGATAAGGAGATGATCTAGGCAGCAAACAAGGGATTAAACTAGATAATGCCTCCTTTCCCTCCCAATCCTGAGATTCTAGGGCTCAGTGATATTGGCTCCTACTGCTAAGGCCCTGGCCTGTGACAATTCTCATTCTGGTCCCTCTTCTCCCCAAGGCATCTCTTCCATTCTGGGAGCCCTCACTAAGGGCCAATGATGACCCTTCACAAGCACAGTACATTCATTAAGGCAACAACTACAGATTGGTTGTCAGGACAACTGGAGCAAGGCCCTCAGCTCTGGAGACAGACCAGACAGGCCCAGGGGAGACAAGGATGGGGAGGAGGCAGTGGGGATGGATGGAAGCATACATGCCCAGCCTGTGAGTCTGGGGTGCATACCCTGATGCAGACCCACCCCACTCTCTTTCAGGTGTCCATGGCAGACCTCTGCTTAGTGCCTCAGGTGGCAAATGCTGAAAGGTAAGCAAGAACTCTGCCACCCTCCCTCTTCCTCCTGGCTCTTCCCCTCCAAGTGCCCAGCCTCACTTTAGCTACTGAGGTAGCATCTCACGCAGAGACCCTCCTGGCTGGCCCCTGTGCCAACCCACGCCAGAAACTGTGGCCTGGGAGAGACAGGCAGAGGTCAGTGGAGCATCCTCTCCCGGGCCCAGCTGCAGCCCAGGTGATCTGCACAGCCCCTCCTTCTAAGAGGAGGTGGCTCAGCTGTTGGACACCCCTAGAAGAAACCCTAGACACGGTGTGTCTGTGCCCTGTGGTCAGCTCCACCTCCATTTCCCGCATCAACCCTCAGGAAGGCATGAATGAGAACCTCTTTGTGGAAGGCACTGCGTTAGGGACCCTTAGGGATTCGGAAATATATGACCCATTCCCTACCCCTGGAAGCTTATGACTCAGGTGGAGAGACAATCTTCATTTATAAATGCCTAGCACTGTCTCTCACACATAGTAGGTTCTCAATAAATAGCCATTGCTTGGAATAGGAGCAGTAGGCAACAGAGACCTCAGACGATACTGCATAAGAGCTAGCCTCCCCAGAGAGCTGGCTGTGAAAATAAGCTTTCCACCGGCAGGGTCCTGTCCCAACCCTTCCCTGGCCAGCCCCAGGGGCCTCCTCCAGTCCTGTCTCTGTGCCACCCTCACCACCCACAGGGCAGTCTCCCGTACCCCTGCTGACCTTGCCTGAGGTGGGTGTTTCTCTGCCACAGGTACAAGGTGGATCTCACTCCCTACCCTACCATCAGCCGTATCAACAAGGCGCTGCTGGCCTTGGAGGCCTTCCAAGTGTCTCACCCCTGCCGGCAGCCAGACACGCCCCCGGAGCTGAGGGCTTAGCTCTCAAACCACGCCCACTGGTGCAGGAGCAGAAGCTGGGTGGGCTGAACAGGCCTGGAAATGAGCAAGCCCTAACTGGAGAAGAAGACTTGCCCTCCTATCCCTTGAACTTGAACTGTGGCTGTGGATCTGCCTTAATTCAACCTTGTTCTGCCTTCATCCCCTCATCTGTCAAATGCAGTCAGAATGGGATGGAAGGATGCTGGGAGGGAGGGAGGAAGAAACATTGCCTACTCCCTAAGTCATGGTACAGTCATTAAGGTGAAGTGAGAATGTAGACCCAACTGCCTGGCATGTTTACCTGGGAGCCATAGGGAGTCTGTGTGCCACCTCCCAAGTCTTCTACTGTTGCTAACTCCAAAGAATGCTCCCCCCCCACCCTGCAATTTGATCATTAAACTAAAGCACAGGCCTGGTTGTTCAATAAGACTGAGATGTTCAGGTTTTGGTTAAGGCAGTTCCCGAAGATGAACATTCCTCTAGCTGGAATTCCCGTGCCTGGACCAGGCAAGGAAGTCATCAGCTCAGGATCAACTAGAGGATGAAAAGCCGTGTGTGCTGGGGGAGGGAGGGGACCAATGGGATGAGTCCAGGGTGTGGCCTCGCCAAATGGCCAAAGCTAATGAGAAAGAAGAGCAGTCTACCTGACTTCTGGGCCTGCAGTTTTGAGTCAGAGTGAGATTATTGTGTGTTCCCAGCCCTGGGGCTTCCATGGAGTCACCAGCATGGTTAGCTGCTTGGCTGGAGATCTGAGGTTCCGCTGGCTCCAGCCCTCCCCATAGGGAGCCATTCTCAGGAACCTGGGGCCAGCTTCACGGGAGAGAGAAACCTCTCTGTTCCTAGACTACTTAGCTGTGTGTTACGGAGTGCGAGAAAGCATTTCTGCACCATCTTCCCTGCCGGAGGGCGGTGTTCCTCCAAGCTCTTCTAGGGCTGCACACCCTGTCTTCCCCCTGTTAGCCAAGTGCCAAGCAAGGGGTAGCTTTGCTCCATGAATGTCTGTTAAAGGGAAGATATCCTTCCTGTGCAGCTGTGGGTGGCCTCCCTGCAGGTCTCTCTCCTCTTTCAGGGCCCTACAAGGTCATGAAGGAAACAAATATTTCCCCAAGTGCATAGACTTTTGTCTAGAGGTCGGACCAAACAGCTCCAGGCTTAGCAATAACTACGCTTCTACAAAGTGTTTTGAAGTTTATTACCTGCTCTGCCCCTCCTTCCAGTCTGCAGATAAATTCTGATTTTTTAAAAAAATATATTTTATTGATTTTTTTATAGACAGGAAGGGAGAGGGATAGAGTTAGAAACATCGATGAGAGAGAGTCATCGATCAGCTGCCTCTTGCACACCCCCTACTGGGGATATGCCCGCAACCAAGGTACATGCCCTTGACCGGAATCGAACCCGGGACCTTTCAGTCTGCAGACCGACGCTCTACCACTGAGCCAAACAGGTTTCGGCAAATTCTGATTTTCAGGGGGCAGATGTGTTACTCAATCCAAAATCATCACCCCTTTAGGGGATGTTTTCCAGTAGGGGCTTCTCTCCACAGGCCGACCTGTGGTAAAAGTCCACATCAGTTGTTAGATCCGGGAAGAACATCAGCAGGCACCTGATCCTGGCCTGGGAGGCCACAGGGAGATCTCAGTCTTCCCACAGTGCATGTGGCTCAGGGGATGATGGAAGTAGTTAAGCCCTAGCAAATACTTTAGAAGGATGAAAGCAGCAAGGACTTGAGAACATAACCAAAAATATAGGATTTTGTTCTAAAGCAATTTTTACATATCCATTAAAGGAAATAGTAAACTTACTGGGCAAGCAGGTGGAAATACACATTCATAAGATAAGTATTCGTTTTATTGGCTCCTCCTAACTTTAAACACAACTTATTTACCTTTTGATTCCAAGGTCACAGCAGGCATCGTTCCACTTTGCTGAGTATAGCCTGAACCTCACGGTTAAAAAACATCAGCTGAAGGTCAAGAGTTGCAGTGTTTGAGCTTCCTTATATAAGCCTGGGTCAATGTCAGGATCAATGATATGACAGATATGAGTGCCATTAAAAATTAAGAAATAACCTTCAGCCCTGGCTGGTTTGGCTCAGAGATTAGAGCGTCAGCCCATGGACCAAACAGTCACAGGTTCAATTCCTGGTCAAGAGCATGTATCTTGGTTGCAGGTTCAGTCCATGGCTCTGGTAGGGCACGTGCAAGGCAATCAATTAATGTATCTCTCTCATGTCAATGTCTCTCTCTTTCCCTCCTCTCCCTCCCTCCCTCCCTTCTACTCTCTCTAAAAGAATTTTAATGGAAAAAATATCCTCGGGTGAGGATTAAAAAAAAAATCACACAGTGACATATTCAACATGCCCAACATAATGCATTCAAAATCGTTAGTTATATACAGTCTGCCTGGGCTTCTTATTATTGGTTGCAGAGTAGTTTGGTGGTAAGATTATATCATTTAACTCACAATTATTTAAGATCTCTGCCTCTTGATACAACAGCCTCTAAAAGGAAAGATGGAACAAGCTCACCTTGGAACCACAGATACCACTAAAGGAAATATTTAAATGGCACCCCTCTCTGCTAAGATATGAGTCCTTCAGATTCTGAAACAGACAGCAGGGATGTGCAGCTTTATAAGAGATGCCAAAGACAGTGTATAGTGTCAGTTTTGCAAGTGAAAATAGGCTAAATTAATACCACTCTGGCTGAGTTAGTGATTACTCTGGTGTTCTAAGTACTGGTTCCAAATTTGATTAAATAAGTAAATCCATTGGAAAATAAACATCACTGGGACCAAATACTGACAAAACCTGATAATGTTCTATTTAGTAATCATTACTCTAAACCAGATTTTTCACTCTTGGGCCAAACCTAGCTCCCAGTTCATAATACTCTGCTATGATTTAAACGCAGATGAAAGATCTATTAACCTCATTCTCAGTATTTTCTTAATTATCAATTTTCTTAATTTGTATAGCCTCAATAGATTAAGTTTATAGAATACCTTTCATTTAAGATGCAAAGGAGAGATTAATAAAAAAGTTTTCATGTAAATCAGGTTCATTAAGATATAACTCAAATGTTTCAGGTGCACAGTGAAAAAGTTTATTTATGACAGATTTCAAAACTCGGAAGAGAAGACAAAGAATGCACAAAAGCATCACAAAACTGTTACATAATATAAAAACACAGGCCTGAGATACTTAAGAGAACCGTAGCTCAGGATCATCTGTGTATCACAGCAACACATTCAGTGCCACAGGGTGGGAAATACGGCATTTTAAAGGAAAAACCACTCAGAGGACATGATTGAATTACAATGTGGTACAGAGCTCTCAAGTTAGAAACCACAGGTGGGGCTGACAGCGTTTCTCATGATAGAGGACATATACAACAAACTGCAATGAAGGACCGGCTGAGACACTTTTGTATTTAAATAAAAAACTGTTCTACTTTCAGACCCCTCTTTGTAATGTCAGCATCAATACATGATATAGAATAAGGAAAGAATACCTTTGTGGTTGCCAATTGCTTAAATATTTACCAAGAAAGCGTGATCATCTTTCCAACTGACAGAGCTCAGTGAGTGGCATCAAAGCAGGCCTTTCAGAAATGAGCAAAATGGCATAATGTGGTTTAGGAAAGCTCCAAGCACCTCCCTCTGTTCCAATTACCCTCATCCAAAGGCTGGCTTTCTTATAACCCATCACTTTGATTACAAAGCAGCTTTCTCCTGGGAATTTCAAAATACTTTCCATTATGAAGGGAGCACGGTAGCTACACCAGTCATGGGTTATGTAGTCTTGGACTTGCTCTTGAACAAGGCTAAATGGAAATAATTCAACTTGATTAAACAAACAAACAAACAAACAAACAGAAATTTTATTTAAGGGACAATCATCTCAGAAAGGGATGTAGCAGAGTTTTTAATATGTAATTTCCTGTACTGTTTAAGACATAAGAGAAGGAATTAAGATAATGTTTTCCAGATGGCTCTTGCCTGAACCTAAAAAGCAATAGTAATAACCAATCACAAGGAACATCACAGGCAAGGCATGTGAACCCTAAGTGAGGATGAGAGCACCTGAAAGTGATGTCCGTGACGAGCTCCTCTGTAACCCTATGTACTATAATGGTTCAAGCCAAAACTTTAGAATCGTTCCTGACCCTCTATCAGAACTTCTAGAAAATACACTTTGTCCCTGAAAAGATTTGGGCCTATGAGAAATCAAAGTACATGTAATAGAAACCAAGTTCAAAGCAGTACCAGGACTACAGAGAAGAGTCTTGCTTTTGGACTTAGTTTTTGAAGGAATGACTGTAAATGAATCCCACACTCAAGACTTGAGGCAATTAAGTGGGGTTCCTTGGCTTGGTGAAGAGAGATTCCAACAGGAGAGGCCTTCCTGGTTCAGGCAGGGACAATGCAACGCTCCAGAGGGAGCAGTGATTTCTGAAATCTGGCCCCACAGCAAAGTGTTTCTCAGCCTCTGAGTCCCAAATCTTGCCCTAAGCTCATTACATAAATAACTGGATAGATGTCAAAGAACTGTCCACAGGTGCTGGACTGGTTAGACAGAGCAAAGGGTTGACACTGGCCATAACCAGGCACCAAGAGTGCCAAGGCAGCTCTTACCCAATGGCCTCCCCCCTTCCAAGAGGACTCCAGGAACCAACTCCCAGGGGTTCTCATTGCAGAATGTTCTCCTTTGCAGAATACCAAAGTCACTGCCCGTAGGAGACTGGCTCCTTCAGTGGCCCTGAAGCCAGACTCTAAGGACACTACGGAGCTTCAGACCCCATGTATTACACTTACAGCCAGAACAGAACATAGTTCCCACAGATGGAGGGCTTGCTCCAGTTATTAGCCAACTCAGCTACTTTGTCGTCCTCATCAGTACAGCACTGTCACATCCTCTTCACGCACTTGGTAAGGTTAACAAGAGTTCCGGTTGCATAGTCACCCAAATGTCCAAATATGGGACCATAAGTAACAAA